TGGAACCCAACGGCAGTGAGCTAGTGTGTTTCTGGCCCAGCAACTGTGGCTCATTGGCAAGCAGTGAAGTCCTCGTACAAGGAAGAAGGGTGTGGGGTGGGAAAGCGTGTATTCCTCATTACTGGGCGTTCTGTCTCCTGTCGGGAGCTCCGTGAAGCTGCCTTCCTGTACTCCCTGTCTGAGTTCTTTGGTGGCTGTAGCCCAAGATGGCAAATCTGGCCACATTAGCTGGTATTGGACCTCCACTGCATAGCTCTCCTTGTTCTCTGTTCTCTGTCAGTTTCTTATTCCATTCAGTGCTTGATTGAGTTCTTTGTTCCTTCATTTGGTACTTAAGGTTCCAGAATTGACTTTTGTATCTGTTTTAGTTTTTCGGGTCTTTGCAGCAGAGGGACAACATGGTGCTTCTGTCTATAGCACCATGTTGGCTCTGCCCGTGCCAGCCAGGAGCATTTTTGAGGAAGGAGTGAAATTGAGAGTGTCTCCTTTCTTGGAATGAAGGAGTAAAAGAAACAAGATTGGGGGCACCATCAATGAGCATCCTGTGCAAAATAAGATTGTTAGTGCCTCTTTCCATCTCTTGTGTTATGATTCCTTTGATGGATCAGGACACACTGGGCTTTCTCCAGTTGCTGGCTAGGTTGGATGATCTTGGTGGATATGGATGGGGGCGGGTCGATGGTGGGTTCGTAGTGTAGTTAAGGCAGTGGATGAATAGAAGGCTACAAGCAGTGGATGACTGGATGGGGTAGATTCAGTATCCATGTTCCCCAGTGTTTTATGAACTGAAGTGTTGGATGAAACTGATGGCACGCATCCAGGCGTTGAGGAAGCCAGACTTCTTATCCTCAGTCCTAGGGCTTTGATGGTCTTCTTGTGCCACAGGACAGGCTTAACCTAAATGCTCCCCAGAATCAGGGCTGGTAGCTGAGATTCGCAGTCCATTCTTTGCTTTTTTGTTTTTAGTATAGTTTATTCGGTGGTCCTTCAGGCACCTGATCCCAACAAACACCAAAGGAATTTGTTTCCCTGAAGTCTAGACTTCTTAATTGTATAATGCCATATGGTACTACAGTGTGAGTTCCCAATCACGTGAGATGTTATGACTGAATTCCCTGGAGGGCAGCCTTTTTGTCTGCTCCCCAAACCCCTGCCCCAGCCAGGTGTCTCTCTGTGTGCCCTCAAAGCACATCCCACCCTGTAGTGTCAGTGGCTGTTAACCAGCTCTCTCCTAGTAGGGGCAAGATCTCTGTTTTTAATCTCTGAAGGCTGTGCTTTTTTTTTTTTCTGGCCACAATTAGCTTATATTAACTTTTTTCTTTAAAATTGTGCTTTAGGTTAAAGTTTACAGTACAAATTAGTTATCTCATTCAAAAATTTATACACAAATTGTTTTGTGATACTGGTTGGAATCCCTGCAATATGTCAGCACTCCTCCCCCTTTCCACCCTGGGAACGCCGCACATTTAGATCATATGTAGCAGGTGCTGAGCAATTCTAGTTACTGTGTGACACAACCCAGTCCTTCCACAGTGAGACTAGAGCAGATGGCATCTCTCTGGGAAAACCTTTTGCGCATTTAGGAAGGAAGGTCTTGCATAAACAAAAGGTGACCGTATTATTAACAATAGCATTAGTAATTATTTTCCAGGGCTAAATTAATGTGGTTAAATAATTTTCCCAGGTACTTGGAGCCCTGATGGCGTAGTCGTTAAGAGCTTGGCTGATAACCAAAAGGTTCGCAGTTCAAATCCACCAGCCGCTGCTTGGAAACCCTATGGGGCAATTCTGCTCTGTTCGATAGGGTTGCTATGGGTCAGAATCGACTTGACGGCAACAGATTTGGGTTTTTTTTTTTTTTTTGGCTTCAGCTCTCTCCCTTTTTAGCCTTCTTATGTTCCAATGGCACATCCCTAAGCCGGCAGGAAGAGGTTAAAAGAAGAGGTGAAGTTTTTCCTGCATCTCCTAAAAAGTCTTTGGCTGCCAGCATCCTCTTTGTTATTCAATAAGCACCTTTCAGTGCTGACTATAACCTGCTTGCTTTTCTGGTTGTTTTGCTTTCTAGTATCCCTAGTCCCATCTAGGGGTGTTCTGTGCTCACAGCCAGGGCTTACTACAACCTTGCTAATGCTCAGATGAATCAAAAGGGGAAACCTATAGCTATTAAGTGGGGTGAGGGAGTCTCCCCTGGGTTCTACCTCTCTTACCATGGTGTGGGAGTGGGCATTGGCATATCTTTGCTCGTGGCACCTTGGCAGGAGTGATAAGCTGCATTGTACGTTAAGCAGATTTGGGAGGAGGTTGGGCAGGCCAGCTGGGCTGGATTGTGTTGTTACCTTAGGCTTCAAAGGGAGCGGGGCTCCTTGACTCCATGAGTGGAGGGTAGGGCCTCTTCTTTGTTAGCTACTATCTTGTAAGTGCTAGCTGTCTGCTAGGTGACATTTGGAATCTGTAAAGAGCATGAGCCCCTATGTGGGTGGAGGTATGTGCTCTCACAGTAAAATGTGGTTGGGGACTGTCACCACTCCCTGAGGGGAGGGACTGCCTCACGGGAAGTCAGCCTAGGCCCGAAAACCCTGTGCTTCCTCTCAGCTAGCCAGTAGGATAGAACTCTGTGCTCGGAGGTTTTGAGTGCTGAGCAGTGGCCTCTCTGCACCTTCACAGGTAAGCCAAGTGGGGACTTCAGTCTCAGAAGCCTTTAAAGGTCTTTATCTCAGGGCAGAATTATCCTGGCTTTCCTGTGGCTCCCCAGAGAAGACAGCTTTCTGTGCTTTGCACTGTAATTGGAGACAGGAGAACTGGCTTCTGTCCCACTTTTGCCTGTGGCCTTGGGCAAGTCACTTGTCTTCTCTGAACCTCGGTTGTATTATCCACCAGATAAGAGTACTGTCACCTGTTCTGTGGGCCTCACTAGATTGTAAGGACCAAAGAAAATATAATGGCAGGGAAAGTGCTTTGGAGTGGTAAAGCATAGTGCAGATGGAGGCCTTTTGTCTGTCTAGGAATTGTTGGTTTTCATCATAAACATAATAGATGTTTCTTTTGTAAAATACCAACCCTACAGAAATATATAAAAAGTAAAAAGATGTCCTCTCTCTTCCCCTGCTGCTCCTGTCTAACCCCTTACCTGAACATAGGGAACTACTCTTAACCATTTATTGTGTATGCTTTTAGTCATTTTTGCATACATCTAGATATTGCATCAACATGTATTATCTTTAAAAAAACAAAACTCAGTAATAATGCATACTGTACTTCTACTTGCTCTGTTCGCTTAACAGGTTACCCAGGAGTAGACTAGTCCCTGTGGGAGTCTTAAAGGAGCCTGGCTATGGCCTTCCTCCCCAGCTTGGTGGGTTCCTCTGGGGCTGGTTCCCTGGGAGGGATGGAGGAGCTGTACTCAAAGTTCGCACCATAGCAGACACCCTGGTTCTCTCTGAGGGGTTGTTTTTTATTCTGAGATGAAACAGACTGGCAGGGAGTATCCTTGAGTGGGAATCAGGATGAGTATAAAAGCAATGTGGGCATCAGGACCGCCATCACATGTGTGGTTCTCTCCTTTACTCCTTTTCATCTTCATTTGGGAAAAGGGAAAAATTACCTGATCTTGGAACTCCTGTTTTAGTGCAGAGAGAATCCCTGGTTTCTGAACCTTGAATTAGCTGGGTCTCTTGCTGTTCTACCTTTGAAAGCAAGCCAGACCCAGCTTGTGTTTTTGCATTTTCTGTGGATGAGGTTTCTGAAAGTAGCCTGTCAGTGGCTGTGCTTTCTTACCAGCCTGGGGAAGAGGTCAGGGCCAACAAGAAGTGTTGTCTTCTTTCTCTTCTGGATGGTTGTCTCATCTCTTCTGTGGTCAGGCCTTGGCCTTTTTAACCTTTGGGGCTGTTGTCAGAGCCCAGTGGGGAGCCCAGTGAGTAGGCTTTTGGGAAGCTGATTGGAGGCATGTCCTGCCTACATGCATCTTGACCTGAGGCTTGGGAGAAAGGCCAGGCCCCTATGTGAGGCCTCGGTGGTGGTTATTCTCTCCTTTGTGCCACTTGTCATCATAGCGACGGCATGACAGCAAGGCTCCCCAGAACAGAAGAGAGAATCCCGCTCTTGGCTTCTCCCTGCCAGCATCTTGTCTTCCTCTGTTAGCATCTCACACTCTTTGCTCATCTGTAGCTTTCCTATCCTGCTGCCACATCTTGTGGGCTCTCTTGGACTCCACTGCTGTGGCTGTGTTTGCCTTGAGATCTCTAAGTAAGGGTGTGTTACTTCCCCCGAGATAGTTCTGGAGGCTTCAGGAAAGAGTTGTTTCTGCTGTGTGGGGAAGGCTAGCCTTCCTGGGCATTGCTCATTCTGAGTGCATAGAATCATCCCTATTGGAGTCTGGGGAGCTCTGTGGGCTCTGTGGTTCTTCTGGGGCTGGCTCCCTGGGAAGCACCATCTCTCTGGCCGTTTCAGAAACTGTGGACTGGCCAAGCTCTGAGCCGGGTCACACACTGCCCCATTGTACTGTGCTTTCTGATGTAGCTCTTTTTGCAGCCTCTGATTCCTGGGCTGTTTCTTCCCAGCTCTTCTCCTCAGAGACCATGGGTGGTGGTAGGATGGACTCTGCTGGCACAGGCCCGGGGATGGGTGGCAGCTGCAGCTGTGGGTGGCTTTGTTCTTACATACCAGCTTTCAGTGTTTCTGACTGGCCTCCCCGGAGCCCTGGTGCAGCCTGGCAGCAGTGTTCAGGGACTAGGCAAGGCAGGGGAGCTACCCCTCCCCCCCAAGCAGTACCCTCTTCCACAACAGCCGTGTTTTTCTTTTTGTTGACAAACCAGAGAGCCTTGTTACCTGGAGTCAGTGAGTTGGACTCCCTGGGTGACAGGGTGAGTGCTGTATGATTTCTGGATGGGAGAAAGTCCTTGAGGGTCTAGTGGTAAGTCAAAGGTGCTTCCCTTGTTAGGAGAGTGCGGTGTGTACCCGCAGGCATCCTGCAGCTTGGCGTTCCTTCTGCTCTCTCTTTGCAGCTCCGGAGTTGGGCTGCTCACAAACCAAGCTGTGTGTTTATATGGAGTGCCTGGAGGGCGGCTGCCATGAGTCTGTCGATAACCGTGCTAACCAGGAGAGCTGGCTGGTTATGGGAGAAGACACTAACCCTGTGAGTCTGACCTGGGCCAGCTAACCTGCCCTGGGGGTACCACTAGCAGTGCCTCTGTCCTCCATTCCTCCCCCTAGCCTGGCCACCTTCTCCCCTTAGCTGGCATCATGCCGTCTCCTCTGCTCTCTTGTCCTTCCTTACTACTAGGTTCCCTCCATTTTCCCAGTCTCCTTGCACAGGGTGGGTATGTGCCCCCTTCACAGCCAGGAGAGGGAGATTTCCTATGCTTGGCCACCTGTCCAGCTGCCAGCCTGCTGCTGGAGTCCCCATCTCAGTCACTCTCCCCTCAGTTCTCCCTTAAACCAAAATTGCTTAAAGTTTCTGCTTAATGTATGTGCTTGTCAGCACCATGAAGTTTGAAAATATCCCTCCATCACTGTGCTGCTTCTGCTTCTCACGCCTCAGGGACAGCTAGAACTGGAATGGGGAGGGAATTTCCTTCTAGACCAGATAGTTTCCTCCCTTTTTCCAGAGGGGAAGGTTGTAGTGTCCCCATTATTCTCATCCCAGGATAATAATTTAGGATCCATTGCAAGGTTCTCCTTTGGGATTGGAGAGGTTGAGGAAAACCTTGGCTTGGCTGTGGGGAATTGTCTGGGCAAAAGAGTGAAGCCACTTACGTTGAAACCTATAGCCCAGAACCAGGTACCTATCTAAGATATAGCTCCTATTGGTGACCATTGCTCTGGGAGGTGGAGTGGGTGGAGTTTGGTCCTCCACCCACTTCCACGTCTGGAGCTTCAGGTGGACTTTAGCCAAGAAGAGCTGAGAAGGGTGCCTTAGCCAGAGAGGGGGCAGCACCTGGCTTTGGACTCCACCATCGGCCCAGAGAGGCCCTGACCTCAGATTAGGAGACCGGTGAGTGCAGCCTGCACTGGGGAGCTCCTGCTGAACTCCCTTCTCCCTCCCGGCTCAGAAAGGAGAAGGGTGTCTAGAGATCACAGGAAAGCCAATCTCTCAGTGCTCCGTGGTGCTCCACACAGGGAACTCTCTAGACAGACTCTCTGGAGGCAGTGCAGTATTGGGTAGGCTGCACTGTGAAGACTTGAAACCTGAAGGCCCTCTGAGTGGTTCTGTTCCCCTTGGGCTGGCAGGGACTACTAGCATGAGGTGTGTGTAAATGTGTGAGAGGGCGGAGGTGCTGCAGGGGCTCTAAATAGGGGGTCAGTAGCCTAGAGGGTTTGTGTGGCTTGGCTCTGACCAGGAAAACAAAAGGGCCTGGAGCCGAGCCTTGTTCAGGACCATCCCTTCCCTTTGCTCTTCCTTAGGAGAGAGCATGGGTCTAATGTCAAGTGCCAGTTGTGATTTGGGGCATTCTTTTGGACCTCCCTTATTGGGACGGGTTTGATTTGTGCGGTCATCATCAACCATCTTCAGCTGCCTTGTCCTTGTTAAGTGTTTTCTTGGATGATAGGCCAGTGGGTGGATTTGAGGTGTTTGCTCAGGTGTGGAGCCAGCTGAGCTCCCACAGGTTAGCAGCACTAGTTCTGAGTCCTCAGGATTATTCTGGGCAGAATGACGCCCACCGTTTTGACTTACAAAAACCTGTCAGTCTGTTCCACTTTTAGAGCAGGGTTGGGGGCGGGGGGTGAGGGGGGCAGGAAAGGGCCAAAGGCAGCTTTTCAGAAGAGTGTGAGATTGTACTTGCCCAGAGGGGTGGTGGGTATAGCTACCTGTTGGTGAGGCTGATAGGCCTCTCAGTGTGCAGGGCAGGAGGGCTGATCTGGGCACAAACTGGCATCTTCCAGCCTAGTCATCAGCCCAGAGCAGTCTCTGCCCAGGCCCCACCCCTTGAGCTGCTGGCTGCCTGCCTGCCACGCGCCCAGGATTGCTGAGGGCTTTGCTCATGTATCTTGGGAACAGCTGCATGCCGGAAACTGGGGGCTGGTGGCAAGCAGGAGGGGCACCTGGGGGACAGTGAAGGGAAGACTTTGGTAGTATCGGCTCACTGCTGGGGGTTGTTCTGTTCAGTGGCAGGCAAGATGGGTGGGGGGACATATTAATGGCGGTGGGGGGCGGTCCTTGCAGACAATCCCCAGGGCCACTGCTGGGTCACCTGGTCACAGGGCTGACCCTTGCAGGGTAGTTGGTTGTGTTTCCTGGGCCTCAGTTGAAGGCAGAGCCTGAAGTTTGGAGGCTCGAGAAGCAGCCAGAATGTTGTAGTATGGCAGGAGTGTAGCCTGCCGCCAAAGGGGCACAGCTTTCCCCCAGGCTGGCAGAGTGGCAGAGTTCAAAGACACATCCAGGGATGATTTCCTCAGAGGAGGCCTCGCCCCTGCGTGATCAGATGTCCGTGTTCTGGCGGCTGATTAGGGGCTTTCGGGAGGGCTTCTGTTTATTATTTATTTGTATCCTGCTGTGTTCTCAGGGATTTAAGGCAGCATACAATGTAGCTGGAGTATTCTGCAACAGTGCCAGTTTTCCTTTCATTTTAAAAGTAACACTGATTACTAACTTTTGTTTGGCTTTTCTTGAATGAATTACGAAGAAGAGCTTTAGTAATTTTTGTGAAGTGTGGGTCCTTCTCGATTCGGAAGATTGAGTTAATTGACCCCCACAGTCTTCCGCTTACTTGATTCAGTGACACCTGTGAGCAGAAAGGCACGTTAATAGGTTCAGAAGTGGTTCAAGCCCAGATCAGCCGTGGGGGCCATAATCACCTAAAGGGAGTGTTGGGTATGTGAGGAGTGGAGGAGGCTGTCTCTCTCCAGGGCTGGGCAGCTGGACCCGGGCCAGGAGAGTTGTGGAGTGGGGTGGTAGTGCAGAACTTGGAAAGCTGGAGTTGATGCCCAGTGGGGGAAGACTGAAATCTGGAAAGCCAAGGAGTCACATTCATTTTCAATTCAATCTTCTTTCTCTCCCCCGGGCCAGTGTTGAGGGGGTGGGCAGAGCCTGGGTCTTTCTGCCACAGCTGCACTGTGAGCTCTGAAGCCCATTCATGTCTTGTAGGAATCTGGGTTCTGGTGAGTGAACATGTGGTGCCCTCCACACCTCACACACTCCTACAGCTTCTTTTCTGCCCGCTCTACACAGCCCTCTGAACCCTAAGCAAGGAGAAAGCTGAATTCTTGGCCCTCCCTTCCTGTCCTGCACCTTTGACTTTGCCCTGGGTGTTGGGCAGACCCATGGAAAGGATGGCAGGATGAGGTGACAGGGCGTCCTTGGCCCTTAGACTTGAACCTTCTGCTGTTGCCTCCTATGAGTGTTTGCTGGGAGGAGTAGTTAGGATAGTGGTTTGGAAAGAATCAGAACTCAGAAGAGGTTTCTCTCTTATGCACTCCATCTCCAGCAGCAATGATTTCTGACCGCAGCGGGAGCCCCTGGACGCAGACACATACCTTTTCCCTACCCACAGAAGGGAGCAGGTATGAGCCCCATCTCCTGGTTAAAGAGTGATGCTTGGCAAACTGTCCTTGGATTAAAAGACCCTGCTCAGCCAGTTTCTGGTGCAGCTTTCTTCTTACATCTGTCTCTGTCTACACTCTGTTCAGCTGTTCAGTGGGTTCACAGTGCAGGTTCGCTGTGCATGCCTAGTCCTATTTCTAATGAAAGTAGACTTTGTTTTCTGGAGGCAGCTAATAGTGCCCTATGGGGCTGTAATTGGAGAGAAGGTATTTAATACAGGGCAGGCGGCAACAGGCGGCCTGTACCGACTAGCAGATTGCAACATGGCAATTAGGAAGCTATCACCCCCCCATCTCTGCCCCAGCAGATATACGGGGTAGAGTCTTCTCTGAACTGATTTTGAGAAAGCGAAGAATGACTGCTATGCAGAAGAGGAAGGAGACGGGCAGGGAGGGGTGAGGAGAGCTGCTTTCCCTTCTCACCTCACGTTCATGAGGTGGGGAGGGGTCACTGCTCTTCTGGCAGCTCCTTCCACAGTGCCTGCAGGACAGCCTGAGGAGCCCCGGGCTGATCTGCGTCAGCCAGAGATTTAACCATAGACCTCAGCCTTTCTCCAGGGTATAGCTATTCTTGTAGCCAGCACATGATGTGGTAGCCCACATCCTGGTAGTCTTCTTGAGACTCAGGTATTTCTGGTAGGGTGGGAGTAGATTCTTCCCTGTCAATTTCCAGACCTTCCTCCAGAAGACCATCTTCTTGGAGGTGCCCTGGAGCCAGCTCAGCATCTAGAGGCCCCCGAAGCTGTCCCTGACTTCTGCTTGCTCATCATGCCCATGTCCCATTCTGAGTTGTCCACCTACTTTCCCTGGGCCCTCCTCTTCTAAACACAGGGCTGGGAGTCCTCCTTGGGATGAAACTCTCCAAGGTAGCCTGGGAAACCTTTGGGTGGAGGAAATGGGGCCAGTAGGGGCAGCACATGGTGGTGGGGTCTTCCTGGAGGGACTGTTCTGCTGCCTTCTGCTCACCCTGTGTTCTCCACCTGGCGGGTGGATCTTGTCCAACTGCTTCTTGTTCTGTTCTCTGCTGCACCTGCACTGCTCTCCTCCCTGCATCTGTGCTTCCCTTTCCTACAGCACTTTCATTCAAGGACTGTGGGCTGCCGGGCGCATTGGGTTCCTGGTTAGTGCTGGAATTGTGGGCCCCTCGTGGGTTGGATCTGGGGCACTTAGCAGATTTCAGGAGTTGGGGCTAGGGACTGGGTGTCTGTAAAAACGTCTTGGGGGAGGTATCTGACCTCCTCCAACCCCACAAGGGGGAAGGAGAACCAAGATCAGCAGTACAAGGCTGACTCCCGTGAGATGGAGGCCAGACAAATCTCCTCTCTCCACCATTTTTACCAATTCTGACATCAACCATCCCTCCCACAGCACTCTCTACTTCTCTCCTGGGTTTGATTATTCATTGCAGTGGCCACACAGAACTCACAGACCACACTCAAGACTGTGAGGTTTATTAGGGGAGTAACAGGTTATAGTTCAGGCTTAGGCGCACTCAGGATACAGTTCTTCCATCAGGATAGCCTCTTCTCAGCTGTGCTCGCAGGCACACCTCTCATGGGCCCTCAGTCTCTGCCCAAAGGCAGTTAGCTTTCTCCTGCTGCTGTGTCTCTCCTTCCTTGGTGGTGGTGGGCTCCTCTCTTCTGCTCTGGAATTGGCTCTCTTTAAGGAAGAACTGACCAATCCCGTTGGTAGGCCACAATTACCCTATCACATAATCACCTGGGTGGGAATTACAAGCCCATGGTTAGAAAGGCCATACACAAAAGTAATCACCCGAAGTGTCTGACATATTTATGGACATGGGGCAGGGGGTGGCACACTTTCCCTTGTGGACTAGTGCTGGGGACACTGCAGGCTCCCTGGGGGACTGACTCCCTAGTGGGCCTTGCCTTCTGCTTCCTCAGGTGAGAGTGGTTCCCCTCCCTGGGATTCTGAAGTGTTTGAAAAGAATAGGCTCTAGCTGGGAGAGAATACCCCCCACCCCCACAACCATTCCCAGAGTGTTCATGCCTGGATTTTCTACTGATCTCCCTGCCAGCCACATCCATGCTGGCTTCCCCCTCAGCGACGCAGATTATCTCTGACCATGGAAGCTTTGGGAATATGTGCTGTGGGGTGGGGATGGGGACACAGAGTCGGGTATTTTCAGTAGACGAGGCAGGATGAGCTGTAAGATGTGTGGCAACTAGAGCCAGGGCTGTGGGAGGTGGAGTGAGGCAGCTCTCTTTAACAGGTAGAATGACCAGACCCCCGAGTGTGTCCTGTGTTCTCACTGCCTGCCCACCGTCCCTGCAGGAGTCCTGGTGCCTCAAGGACGGTGTGGGCATTGGAAGGGATAGGGAAGCCGAGAAGAGGCTGAGGATAGAGGGAGGGGACCCCAGAAGGGCCTGCAGGGAGGAAGGGGTTACTCAGCAGACTGGTGGCTCATGGGGAAGGATCAGGGACTGGTCTCTCCTTAGGGGAGGGAGAAGGCAGAGGCTAGCTGTTGGGAGCCTCCCCTGGATTTTGTTGAAGCTGTTGACTGCCTGTATCTCTTACTCCTGTCTCTCTGGCCTTACCCCCTTTTCCAGCTCACATACGCTCCCTATGCCAGCATCAGAACCCCGGCACCCAGGCTGGTGTGGGACTTCCTCAGCCTCTCCTCCAGCCATAGGACCCCCTACCCTGGGGCCACTGGAGGGACAGCTGGGGAACCTGTGGGGGTGACTTGTTTGCTCCCCCATACTCCAGGAATGTGCTGTCCTTTCAGGCCCGCCCAGATTCCTGCGCAGGGAGTCAGCCCTACACGGCATGCTGCTGGTGCCCTGTGGGGACACGTTCTGCCTCACCGTCAAAGCGGCGGAGGTTGGTGGCTCGTGCCTGTGCTGCCCCGCCTCAGCTCCCCCAGAACCCCAAGCCAAGCACTGGGCTGCCCAGACAGAGACGGGAGGCCACTCCTGCATCTCCACCCTCCCTACCCCCTCACCATTCTTCCTGCCCCAGGCCCTGTTGGAATGTGACAGAAGTCATGGCCAGGGCATGTCCCGACAGCGGGAACACATGCTTCAGCCCGAAAGGCTTCCCTCAGCCCCCAGCTCTGTTTAGGTGGATGGGGGTGAGGAACAGATTGTTTTTTATGCCCAGAAGCCACCTAAGGTTACTGTCGCCACTGATCCCTGTGGGTGGCTGCTGCCCCCATGCTGCAGCCCAGCTTATTACAGGTGGGGGCCTGGAGGGGACCGCACAGGTCACTCAGTCCAGCCACCACTGTGTAGATATACAGGCTTATCCACTGGAGAAGAGACTTACCAGGGCCACAGAGTGTGTCAGAAGTGGCACTGAACCCGTAACCCAGGTGTCTTGACTCACCAGACTTTGGTTTTCTCTACACCAGGGTTTTACAGCCTCAGCACTGTTAACATTTTATGCCGATAATTCTTTGTTGTGGGGGCATTCCTATGCATTGTAGGATGTTTAACAGCCTCTACCCACTAGCATGCCGGTAGCATGCTGCTGCCCCCCCCTCCGCCACCTACCCCCTTATGACAACCAAAAATGTCTCCAGACTTTGCCAAATGTCCCCTGGTGGGCAAAATTGTTCTGGTTGAGAACCACTGTTCTAAATTGCTGTCTTTTTACATTTTTTGTTCTGGACATAACCTCCTGTCTTAGTTATCTAGTGCTGCTATAACAGAAATACCACAAGTGGATGGTTTTATCAGAAATTTATTTCCTCACAGTTTAGGAGGCTAAAAGTCTTGAATTCAGGGTGCTGGCTCTAGGGGAAGGCTTTCTCTCTCTGTCAACTCTAGGGGAAGGTCCTTCTTCCTTGGCTCCTTGGCGATCTTCCTATGGCATGGCATCTATCTTACTCCATCTCTGCTTCTCTAATTGCTTGTTTAATCTCTTTTATATCTCAAAAGAGATTAACCCAGGACTCACCCTACACTAATCCTATCTCATTAACATAACAAAGACCCCATTTGCAAATGGGATTATAACCACTGGCATAGAGGTTAGGATTTACCACACATATTTTTGGGGGACACAGTTCACTCCATAACACCTCCTCATTGCAAAGTCTGTTGACCATCATTGTGTACAGGAGTCTTTAGGCTTCTTGTGGAAACATTGCTAGGGCAGAGGAGCTTCCTTTCTAGCATCTTCTCTGCCCATCTCCCTGGGTCTCTACTAGGCTTTTTTCCCCTGGTGTTCTCTTCTGCAACCCCTGTTCCCTAAATCTCTTATTTTCAGACCCTGAGAGGCCTGTGAAATCAATAGGGCAGATGTGGGGTGGGGATAGGGACAGGACAGGACTGGACCTATTCCAGAGTTGGGCATGTGATAAGCTGAGACCAGGAACACGTACACAGACACACGTGTGTCTGTCATGTGGGCCTGGGACAGTGCCTTCCTGGAGAATGGCAGGACCCCAGTGTTTCCAGTCCTCTCCCTGCCTCTACCCTTTTCCCCTCACAACCCCTGCTCTACAGCTTTCCTGCCTGGCTCTCCCTAGGGGCCTTCCAGGTCCCAGACTGGGCAGGCAGGCCTGTGGCACTGACAGACAGGCGGCTGACACCTGGTTTCCACTTTCTTCCCTTCTCTGGTTTCAGGAGCTGTTGGCTAGAGGAAGTGGAGGGGCCGTGGGATGCGGAGAGCCGAGGGCTAACTCCTGGACAGCGGAACAGAGGGAGCTGCTGACAGACGGTATGTCCCTCGTGAGGCCTGTGCCCCCCTCTTAGTTCTGCTCTGTGGAGGCTGGCAAGTGGCCCTTCTTGGTGGGGGCTGGTTAAAAGAGAGTGGTAGAGGCCAGAGGGGCTCAGCCATCAGTGGCCCTGGCCAGAGAGCTCTGTTAAGCTTGGAGATCCCCACTGAGGAGCCTGTGTTGAGGGAACATTGTCAAACTTTTATTATTTTTTTTTTCAGCTAATATATATTGAATATTTTCTAAGTAACAGGTACTATTCTTAGTGCTTTACGTTAATTACCTCATTTAATAGCAGTTGGTGCTATTCATATCTCCAATTTAGAGTTGAGGAGACTGAGGCATAGAAGACAAAGGTTTTCCCTCTGAGGTCTTCAAAAGAGAGTAGTGGGCTGCTCTTTAGACTCCCTGCCCAAGCTCTTAGGGTATAACCCACTTGTGGTGGTGCTCAGACCCTGGATCCTGCCTTGGGCCTCACAGTCAGCTTCTGCATTCCTGTCTGTTTCTCACTGGGCCCGTGCCCCACCCTCCAGCACTCCCTTGAGCCCTGGAGATGGACACAGCAAAGTCCAGTCCTTCTAAGGACTCCACAGTGGTCCAGGCCTGTTTGCTGATGTGGTGGCTTCTACATATGTTCCCTTTTATCATCTGTCTTGTTATCTCAGTTTAAAGGCCTCTTGACCACATCTCTGAGCTTCCTCCTTCCTTGCGTCCCCTCAGCAGGTTGAGGAGACTTTACTTCCCAGAATGACCAGTGCAGCCCCAGCTAAGAAACCCTACCGTAAGGCACCACCTGAACATCGGGAGCTGCGGCTGGAAGCCCCTGGATCCCGGCTCGAGCAGGAGGTCAGCAAGACTGGTAGCTCAGCCCTGGCTAGCAGAGGCAGGCCCCTGAGGCTGGGTGCCTGGCTGACTTCTCCCACCTGAGTGAGAGTATTGCATTGCTGATACAGGCCTGTGGTCTCTAAGCTGCAGCAGTGCTGGTCAGGGCAATGTGGGTTTATAGGGGACATGTTTCAGTATATGTCCACATGTTGGTGAACCCCAGAGTCTTCGTAGCTCAGCAGAAATAATGCCATACAGTCTTACTCTCCCTGCGAGAGGCAGCCCAGCAGGAACGCATACTGAGGGGTCCTAACCTGCTGGAGGCTGGGACTCTAGTCCTGCCCTGATGGAGGAGAGCCATTCAGCCTGTGGCCCCTCTGGAGCCTGTGAGGAGGCAGTGCTCCAGCTACTCCTCACAGGACCAGCTGCTCTCTTCACTGTCTCCAGGAAATCTGGCCCTTCCTCCAGCTTTGCTTTGTTTGGCAAACATTTATTAAATATGTACTCGCTGTCAGGAACTGTGTTAGAGCCAGGATCTGCTCTTAAGAGGCCTACAGTCAACTGTAAAACACCCTCGAAATTGGTTATCCTCCCTCACTAAATTTACCAAAGGGAGGAAACGAGTGTTGCAGCAGAGTATTCCCTTTGTGGCCACACTTCCACCCTGTTGCAATATCTGGAGAACATTTAAAGAACTTGAGAGATGGTCAGCAGACACTGAGCATTGGTGTACTGTGGCCCACTTTGGTCAGGTTCAGGGCAGAAATGCCATGGTTTGCCTGTTTCAATTCAGGGAACATTATAAATGCCAGGAACTGGGCTAGGCGCCACCTAGCGGGCATTCTCTGGGTTTTGTAGATGAGGAAACTAAGGCTCAGTGAGGTTAAGGACTTTGCATAGGGTCATATAAACAGTAAGTGGTGGAACAGGATCAAATCCAGGTGTCAGTGGCTCCAGAGTCCATGATCTTAGACGCTGCCTGGTCTGGGCCACCCACTGTCATTTTCCTGCCCATGACTTGAGTTCTGAAGCAGTCGGCTCCATTTGGAGTGGCTCCCTTGATATTTCTCTCTTGTCATTGCACATGCTAGCTCAGCTTTATAGTTGGCTAAGCTCTAACTTCTGGGCCATGACCAACATAGGAGTTTGGGGAGGATGGAGTGGGAGGTTAAGAGCAAAACAAGTTACTTTCTTTGTCTCAGTCATGATTAGCCTAGAGGCTCCCCTTCACTCACGCACTGCCCCTCCTGAGCCTCTGTATGGTCCTGATTCTGCCCCGTCTTCCCCTCGGGGTTGGGAGGGCTTTGTCAGAGCTCAGAATCCTATAGCTTGGCTGGACTTCTTCACTCCTCTGGAAGGTCTCTGCCATGCATATGTGGAGGAGCCCAGTGAACAGCTGAAAGTCTCTTTATTCCCAGGGCTGGAGAGAGGTAGCATGTTTACTGGGGCCCATTTGAAACTGGCTTTAGGATTAAGAGAGGGCTTGGAGCTCATGTGAGTCAGGCTGGGGTTGGAAGGGGTTCTTGAATCTTCTCACTGGCATGGGAGAGGGTAGTCTAGTCTTGTCTGGGCATTACTGGATTGCCACCTCCATCTATAGACGGCCCTGCAGCCTACCCCTGCTATGAGAGTCTGGGCTTCAGACAGGGTCCTTTCTGGGACTGTTTGGAGGGTGGGCCAGCCAGGAGGATGGTGGTCCAGAGCTGAGACTCAGCTTCTGTTCTTTTTTGTCCAGGAACCCCTGACTGATGCAGATAGGATGAAGTAAGTATCTGCTGCCCCCGAGGTGGCCCGCTCACTCAACTCTGTCCCTCCTCACTCCAGGCCAGACTGTTGGTGCAGTTGGGTTTTTCCTTATATTCGTAGAGGCAACCTGGAGCCAGGAGGTGGCTCGCTCTGAGGGGCCTGCTCCTGCTAAGGAGCTTTTCCCCAGCTCTTGGCCCTAGAGAGAACACAGCAGCCCTCCTGTGCCAGCTGCCTCCCTGAGGCCCTTTCTGTCAGCCACGTGAGGCCTCTGGAGAGCAGGGCAGTGCTGGGCTGGATTTCCAAGAGATTAATAATGGAGAAGCCTGATTGTGCAGTGGGGAAACTGGAGCTGGGAGCCTGGTGACCGGCTGGCTTGGGCTGTAATCAGAGACTGAGATGGGAGCTGCACCCTCCTCGATTCTGTCTTCTCCTCATTTGTATCCAGTGGGCAGCGGAGGGTGGGGGACAGGCTGTCTTCTACCATCCCCTCTGCCCAAGCTGTGTTCTCAGGGCCAGCAGGCCTATGGAATGCGCTGCCCCAAACTCAGACCAAATTTCAAGAAGTCCTCCTTGCCCCCAATTTCCTATCCTCCCTTCTCCTTCCTTCCTGAGCCTAGCCTGGAGCTGGCCTGTCTGTCTCTGATGCCCATTCTGCCCTTGACCCCCCTACCCTGCCAGGCTCTTGCAGCAGGAGAATGAGGAGCTTCGCCGGCGCCTGGCCTCAGCCACCAGGCGCACCGAGGCCCTGGAGCGTGAGCTGGAAATTGGGCAGGATTGTCTGGAGCTGGAGCTGGGCCAGAGCCGCGAGGAGCTGGACAAGTTTAAGGACAAGTTCCGCAGGTGTGGGAATGAGGGGCCAGGACACACATACACACATCTCCCCATTCATAGAAGGTTAGCTAGAAGGGGCTCAGCGATCATCTGATTCTGATGAGAAAACAGAATTTCTGGGAGAATGACTTGTCCAAGACCCCATAGCGAGGGGTGGCAGAACTGGGCCTAAAGAACCAGATCTTGACCCAGGGGTCTGCCCTGTACTCTCTACAGGCTGCAGAACAGCTACACGGCCTCCCAGAGGACCAACCAAGAGTTGGAGGACAAGCTGCACACACTGGTAACCTGCCCAGCAGGGCGGGGTGGCTGGCACTGTGCTCACGGCAGAGCAGGGAGCCTAGGACTTGCTGGGGAATGCCAGTCTGTCTTGGGGCTTAGGGAGGAGTTGGGGGCTGGGGCCGTGGTGGGGAGGGGACTACAGCATGCTGTGCAAGTCAGGACTGTCTTAACGCTCACACTGTTTCTCTTCTCTCCTCGTCTCCCCTCATGCTGCCACCGTTGCTGCCACACTCTCCTCTCAGGCCTCTCTTAGCCACAGCTGGATTTTTGCAGTTGCGTCTGAGTTTGTGTGTTTTCTCCCTGGCCCTGGCCTCCTCTTCAGCTGAAACCTGGGATTGCTGGGGCCCTGGCTGCTTCTCCTGCCCCTTGGGCACCACCCCTTTCTTCTTGTCTGTTTGAGGCCCATGCAGTAGAGTCATGGCCTCCCTCCCGGGGGACAGCTGGGGAGCCTGCTCTTGGCTCTAGCAGAGGCACTGACGGATGTCACCACTGAACACTCAGCTCCTCAGCTGCAGTGGGAGCAGGCCCAAGCCAGTTTTTTGCCAGGGAGAGGGATCCAGTCGAGCTGAAGATCAGAAGGCTACCTCTTTCTGAGTCTGTAGCTCCCTCCCTGCTCAACTCGATAATCTCACAGGCGCCCCCAGCTGCCTCCCAGTCCTATTCCCTTTTCCCATTTCTTCACTTGATCCTGGAAACAACTACACACATAGGCTTCAGCCCCAGGGTTTGCACAGCTATTGTCTCTGAGGTACCAGCTGTCTTTCCTGGTGCCTAGAGCCCCTGGAACTCCCACAAGTGTTGGGCAGCCCTTACACTGGCCCAGGCCACAGTAGGTCATGCTGAGGATGCCCTCACCCCTCCTCTGCCCCTGCCCTACAGCCAGCCTAGAGAGCGGGAAAGGTGCCCTGGTCTCTTCTGTCTGTTCGTCATCTGTCTCTGCTCTGTCTGCCTTTGGCTGCCCTAGCACCTGTGGCTTCCTGTGTCTCTGGGCAGGGAGGAGGTGGAAGGGGGAGGAGGGACTGGTTGGGTGTGAGCTGGGTTTACCACGAGTTTTGTGCCTCAGATCAAGAAGGCTGAGATGGATAAGAAGACACTGGACTGGGAGATCGTGGAGCTGACCAACAAGCTGCTGGATGCCAAGAATACCATCAACAAGCTGGAGGAACTTAATGTATGTGCCCTGCACCTGCTCTGGGGCCCACCAGCCAGGTCCTTCCTCACCCGTGGCTGGCTGCCTTGGGCAGGGCCAGCCTCTGAGCCAGGTCTGTGTCTGCAGGAGCGGTACCGGCTGGACTGCAACCTGGCTGTGCAGCTCCTCAAGTGCAACAAGTCCCACTTCCGAAACCACAAGTTCGCTGATGTGAGTATACAGCCCCTCCCCGCCCCGTTCCAGCCTTTTTCGGACTCCTCTAGCTCCGGTTTCTGCGCCTGTCTCTCTGTCTCCCCCTATCTTTAACTTCCCCTTTTCCGCTTTGCCTTCCCCTCACCTCTATGTCCTCTCAAGACAGTTCTGCCACTGGTTGGTGTCCTGTGCTATCAAGGGTCCATCACTAGGGGCTGGGAGGCCAACTCTGTTGGTATTTTTAGAACAAAGGCAGGGAGAGAGGGACTCAATTTCAGGATCCCATGCAGGAAGGAAGGGCTGGCCAGAGTTGTCAGCCATAGGGTATTGAGAGAAGATTAGGCCCATCTGACCCCCTTACCCCAAGGGGCAAACTCTAGACCCCAGAGACCCAGGCCCAGGGTTGATGGGGCATGCAAAAGGAGGGGAGGTGTTTCCAAGGCTGCTGGTTAGTACATATACTTCAAACTTATGTCTGGTTTGGGCAGAAGCCACCTCTGAGGTGGGAGAGGTTTGAGAGCACATGGGCCTCGGGCAGATCTGGGTTCAAATCCTGGCTGTGCTAATCAAAAGCTTCAAGTTGTTTTACCCGTACTAAGCCTCCATTTATTTGTGAAATGAGGATATACCGTGGCATGCTGTGCGAACAGGAGACAGCGTAGTGCCAAGCACAAGCTGGCACTTAGACGTGGTAGCCAGTATTTTTGCCACAAGCCAGCTTTCTTAGGCTGGGATCATTCATGCCGCTCTTCCCTTCTCACGCTCCTTTACCCCAGCTGCCCTGTGAGCTACAGGACATGGTTCGGAAGCATCTGCACAGTGGTCAAGAGGCTGCCAGCCCGAACCCTGCTCCCAGCCTGGCCCCAGGGGCCGTGGTGCCTACCTCCATCATTGCCCGAGTGTTGGAGAAGCCAGAATCTCTACTGCTGAACTCAGCCCAGTCAGGCAGTGCCGGGCATCCCTTGGCTGAGGACGTCTTTGTGCACGTGGACATGAGTGGGGATGTCCCGGGTGACCCAGCCAGTCCCCTGGCCCCTGGCAGCCCCGCCCCCCAGCCCAATGGGGAGTGTGGCTCTCTGGGCACTGCTGGGGGCTCCCCAGAGGAGGAGCTGCCCCTGCCAGCCTTTGAAAAGTTGAGTCCCTACCCCACCCCGTCCCCACCACACCCGCTGTATCCCGGCCGCAAGGTAATAGAGTTCTCTGAGGATAAGGTGCAGATCCCCCGCAACAGCCCCCTGCCCAACTGCACTTATGCCACCCGCCAGGCCATTTCCCTGAGCCTGGTGGAGGAGGGGAGTGAGCGGGCCCGCCCCAGCCCAGTCCCCAGCAGCCCTGCCTCAGCCCAGGCCTCACCCCACCATCAGGCTAGCCCAGCCCCCCCAGTACTCAGTGCCCCGGCCAGCTCAGCTAGCTCTGAGGAGGACCTGTTGGCCAGCTGGCAGCGGGCATTTGTGGACCACACCCCGCCGCCTGCCGCTGTGACCCAGCACGCTGGTTTTGGACGTGATGTGCTCCCTGAGCTACAGCGCCATTTTGCCCTTAGCCACACTAACAGAGATGATGAGGTTCAGGCACCTTCTTCCCCATCTGGTGAAAGGCTTTTGCTGCCAACAGAACCTGATTCTGGCTTTCCCAGGGAGGAGGAAGAGGAAGAGCTGAACCTGCCCATCAGCCCTGAGGAGGAGCGCCAGAGCCTGCTGCCCAATGATAGTGGCACAGAGGAAAGTCCTGGCACTTTCCACACTGAAGGCAGGGCCTGGCCCCTCCCCAGCTCCAGCCGCCCCCAGCGCAGCCCCAAGAGGATGGGGGTTCACCACCTACACCGCAAGGACAGCCTGACCCAGGCCCAGGAGCAGGGTAACCTGCTCAGTTAGGCCCACTGCTTGCCTTCCTGCTACTGCTGCATGGGGACCACAAGCAGACCCAGCACCCCTGCAGCTCAGGGTCCTCAGCCCAGGCCTGCACTCTTACGCCTCCAGGCCTGTGAGGGTGGGATCAGGCCTGGGCCACACTAAGCCTTTCATCTACATCGACTGACTGGCGCTAGCCCGTCTTGTGGTTTTTCCCTTTTCTTGAATTATTTATTCTCCAAAGGTAACATGCAGCTGGGTCTCAAGACCTTCCCTCCAGCCAGCCCAGATAGGGCTGCTCTGGAGAGCTGAGGGTTTATTACGCCAGTGTTCATCGTCCTTTCATATCCATGAATTTTATTTTTTGTTGGTGTGGGGGTTGTGGTTGCAGTTATTAACCTCTAGTTTTTCTGTATTCTGCCTGCTTCCCTCTGCCCGCAGACTCGCTACAGGAGCTGTTGCCTTCAAGGGGCCTGGCACAGCTGGTTCTAGGGGGGTGAGGGAGAGAGGCTGACTCAGGGCTCTCCTCAGCTGTTTCCTTCCTCCCTCTGGAAGGGAGCGGAGGGTGGGGTTCAGGGGCCTCAAGCTGGGCTGTGGGTGAGGCTTGGCCTCCCTCCCAACCTTGGCTCTAGACTGTTACTCCCAATTTTGGGAAAATTTCACATTGCTGACTATTTTAAAATCAAAATAAACTATTTTACTGGTATTGCCTAATTTATATATTAATGGTCTCCCACTCTTCTCATGCTTGAGTGTTTACAGGGGACCCTCATCCTAGTTTTTGTTAGTGGCTCCCCTTTCTTCCACCTGCCTGGGGCTTCCTTGGGCACAGAGCATCAGGCAGGAGAGGGTGTACCTCTAGTAACCTTGGCGGGGCTCAGCCCCCTCGGAGGGAGGGTCTAGCTCAGCTCTGGAGGTGTGTTGTTTACCTTAGTTACGATCTCCATAGAGTCTGTGTAAGGTGTCACCCCCAGAACCCGAGATCCTAGAGCTCTGAGGCCTGGACCAGGCCTGTTTGAAAGATTTGGGACCTGTGGACACTGCCCAGAGATTGGATGGCACTGCCACCTCATGGTGCTTTGTGGTAATTCCAGTTACTCCCCGCCTGCCAGGCCCCAGTGACCACAGCCACACACCAGGTTGTGGAGTTCATAAAATCTCTTCCGAGCCAGCGGGCTGCAGCCAGAGCTGCTAACAAGTCCAGAGGCATTGCCTTGGGTTCAAGTGCCCCCCAAAGCTGTTGCCCAGTCACAGCTTGCAGAGCCGCCCACAACAGGGCTGGAGCTGCCAGAGCCCCAGGCACCACCCCCTGTGCTCCCTCCCAAGCCCCAGGACCAGACCCTTGGTATCTGGGGCAAGGTGCAGGGGACACAGACAAATGTAATGATGTGCAGAAGCCCAAGTGGAAGGTCACATCTCCGTCTCTGCCAACAGACTGTCCCCTAGTCCTGACGTCATTAACACCATCTGAGAGCTGGGATCTGTGGAGGGGCAGAGGGATGTTCAGGCTATTATTTGTTCCCCCACTGGGGATGACCAGTAGGTGAGGAGTGGCCTATGTTTCCTACATCCACTCTCCCTGGTACCAAGCCTTTTCCAGGCCTGGCTCTGATCAACCCTCTGGGCTCTTACCACTGGGGCACATCCAGGAGCTGCTGCCCCTCTGGTGGGCAGCAGGCTCCGTCCCTCTCTCCCGTTCCTGGGTGTGGGTGTCGCCACCCCCTGCTGCCACCTCCTCCTCTTCCTCCCCCTCAGAGAGGAGGTCACAGATCTGCTGCTGCAGCTCCGGGCTAATGCTGTTCTCAGCCAACACCAGACTCCGCAAAGCCGTGGGGTAGTTTTCTACCATGTCCAGCAGAGTCTGGAGCAGAGAAGAGTACGGAAAGAGATGGACAGTTAAGGCAGATCTAAGACCCCAACTTGCCACCCCTTAGGTATGTCCGCAGACACACCAGCCAACCTCCACCCTACCGCCTAGCCTGTCTCCAAACACAGTGACGTCTCACCTGAGCTGACTGGTTGGTAAGCCCTGTGCCCTCCAAGTCCAGGACCTCCAGGGTGCGGCTGGAGGCCACAGCTACAGCCAGCATCCCTGCCACATGGTCACCTGGGGAGACAGCACACACTCACCTACGATTTTGCGCTAGTCAGCTAACCCTTCCTCCTGGCTAGCTTCCCCATTGCCCTAGCAACCTTAGATCCCACTCCTAGGCCAGGAAGAGCTGACAATTGGTGGGTGGTCAGGAAGGGAGGGTGGCGATTGGTACTTGGATCTACCTGTTAGTCATCTGGCTCCTCTACCACCTCCCAGGCCCTCCCCCATCCCTCCCTCTTACAGCATGGGGGTTACCATGACAATTAATGGTCCCAGGTTCTTGGGTAGGGTGTGGGATGGCTGGGATAGAAGGGGTTCTTGAGCCTCACCCAGGGGGTTGTAGTCCAGGTTGAGGACGCGAACCTGGGAGCTGTGGGCCACAGCAATGGCAAGGCGGCTCCAGCCTTTAGGGGTGATGCCAGGGTTGGCACTCAGCGTCAACTCCTTCAAGCCTTGGCAGTGAGAAGCCAGGACGGGGAGGGTCAGACCCTCCTCAAGCCCCGCCCACACCCCATGTCTCTGGACTGTCTTACTCCCACCACAGAACTCCAGGGCCATTAAGGACCCAAGACTCCCCTGTCCCTCACCAGCCTGGATTCCAGAGTCTCCACTGTGCTTAGCCCCCAATCCTTTCCCTTCCTGAGAGAATTTAAATGACATTCTCACCACACTGCCAGAGCCCTCAGCTCTGGGCCATACCCCCTTCCCTCTGCACTTAGCTCTTCATCAAGGCCAAACAAGCCCTGCCCTCAGCAGGGCCCTGCTCACCAGACTTGGCCCCATCCGGGGGGAGTAGGCCACAGATGAGGTTGATGCCTTCGTCACCCAGCATGCAGTCCCCCAGGTCCAGAGCCACAAGGGCCGGGTGGAGGGCCAGGGCTGGGTTCAGCAAGGCCAGCCCAGCATCTGTCAGGGGGCTCCCATGCAGGCTGGGGGGAGGGGTGAGGTGAGAGGAAAAAGGTCATCACAGTGGTCAGCTGTATCTGTAAGGGGAAAGGGCACCTCCCCTATGGATCCCCCTCCCTTCTGTGAGCCCTAGGGGTGGGGAGGGCACTCAGTCACAGCATTTGGAAGAGTCCTGGTGAGGAAAAAAGAAAATTCTAGGTTCTAAGGGAATGAATACAGGTAGAAGGGGAATTCAATTTCTTTTCTCCAGCAGGTACTGGGATCCAGGACAGCACAGGGAGGGGCACAGAAAGGGTATGGGGGTGGTGGACTGGGATCCTCTGGTGGGCAGAAAGTAAGGTAACGGGTCTAGTCCCAAGGGTCTGTTCTTTTTCAGGAACGAGGAGCTGCCCGCATGAAGTAAATGCAGTAGTTAGGTGGGGAGTTAACGACGTGCACTGCCTGGAAGGGGTGAGTATCCCATCTCATTTGAGGTGGGGCGCACAAGTGGAAAGTCCGGGTGTCGTGGAGGCATGGGCAGAGAGATGAGATGTGTGTAGAAGGGGTGAGAAGGTAGTCTGGGGTGCAGACAGGTACGGGAAATCGTGTGGAGGAACAGAAGATGTCAGGGAGTCTGCGTGGAGGGGCGCAGTGCCTGGGGCCCCCTTGCGAGAAGGCGCACTCACAAGAGGGACTGGATAGAGCGGTTGGTTCGCAGCGCCTCCGCCAGCTGCTTGATGCGGCTGGGGCTGGACACGACGCCCAGGTTAAGGTTGAGCTGCGCCAGGGACGTGGCCCCGGCCAGGGCCCGGCAGATGCGGCCGAAGTCGCGGTCGCAGAGGCGGCAGCCGCGCAGTGAGAGCAGGCGCACGGCGTTGTCGCGCAGGCCGCGGCAGATGTCCCGCACCTCGGCGCCTGACAGCGGTTCCCCCGATATCTGGATGGAGCTGGGCAGCATTGTGCCTGCGGTTCGGCCTCCAGGGCCGGGGCCGAGGTTTGCAGGGCCGCGGGCGGGGCTGGGGCCGCGGCCGGGACCGTGGACAGATCGGGGGCGGCGGCGGAGGCAGAGGCGGCTGGAGAGGCTGAGGCTGAGGCGGAGAAGGGCGCCGGAGCGGGAGCGGGCAGCCGGGGCGCCGAGGTCGCGGGCTGGGCTGAGATCTAGCGGCGCTGGGGCTGGGGCTGACCGTTCCGTCCGTGTCTGGGCGGCAGGTTGGAGCGCGCGGTCCCGGGGCCGGGCGGGAGCTGCTCCGCGCTTGTCCAAGTCCCCCGCGGTTGCGGTGGCGACGGCTGTCGCGGCTCACGGGCCTCAAGTGAGGATGCGCGGGACCGGTCCCCGATCGGAGGCCGCACCCGCTCCCGCCCTCTCCCCAGCCCGGCTCCCCCTACCGCTCCGGGAACCCGGCCGCAGGACCCGTAGCGACAGCCTAGCGCGGGCAGGCAGGCGGGCCGCTGGCGGCAGCTCCAGCTCTAGCTTCGCCTCCTGCGCCGGGGCGGCTGGCTCGTTCCCATAGCAACGGCCGCGTCAAGGCCGCTCGCTCCGCCCACTGCCCGGCCCAGGCCAAGAGGGCGCACGAGGTTCGCAGACAGCAGGCGGTTCCAGGCAAGGAGCTCGGAGCCGCGGGGATACTTCCCCTGCGTGTGGAGTCAGACAGGTAGAAGAAGGGCAGCAGGGCTGAGGCCTAGGACCGGCAGGAGATGAGGAGCGGTGATAGGGAGGAATGAAAAGTCCTCACGTGGAGATGGGGTTTGAGACCATTACTAGCTTCTTTTCCTCATTCTCCCGTCGTTTCTCATTGCTAAGCTACAGACTCTCGGTGTGTTCACCGGGATGCGGGATACTCCCTCTCCTTCTGTTTGCAAAGCCCCTCTCCGCTCACCCCTCCTGCTTCCTCGTTCCCGAGACGCGTGGCGCTGCGTGTGTGGGGATTCCGGCCCGCGAGGACTCCCAGCCTGCCAGTCGCCAAAACGGCAGCCTGGAGAGAAGGACACGGCAGGACTGCCTGGCAGAGCTGACCCGAGCTGCCAGCGACTAGGGAACGTCAAAGGGTCCCCTAGGCGGTTAGCCGCAGATAGATGGAGGGTCGTGGTGTCGCCCTTCCTCCAGGTGCTTAAGGCCCTGTTGATGCCCTGAGGTCGTCTTAGTCCTGGTGAGATGCGGTAGACAAAATGAAAGGAGGCGCCGGGATCCGATCTAGAGAGGGGGGATGGAGTGTAATGCTGCGGGCTGGGGCTGGGGCTTTCGGGAGGGGCCTGCTGCACCACCTTGCAGGCAGTGCCGTTAGAACTTTGTCCACTGGTGATGATGGTGGCCTCATTTGCATAACAGGGCAAATCAAGGACAGCTCTTTCTGTTAGCCCCTTTATAAGCAGGGAAAGATGCTGCTGACCCAGATTTACCACGAAATTGACAGGATATTAAAACAAAAAAAAAAAATTCTTGAGTGTAGCGAAGCGAGGTCAAAGGCCCTATTCCCTCTATTAACCATGGGAATTAACTCCTTAAACGGAGCAGATTAAAGCCCATGCTAAGGGTGGATGGTGCTGTGGTAGGTTTTGTTTTGTTTTTTTAATTTTTTAAGAGTTAGCAGCACTCTTGAAGGAAAAGAAAGGACAGAGAAAACACTCAAATGGAGCTGTTTCTTTGACCTCAGCATAACCAGGACAAAGCCAAGTTTGGCTTCAAATACAAGCTCTCACAGGAAAATTATCCCTACATAATGACCCAGGTACATAAAGGCCTCATAATGACATGGGGTTTGGTCTGGAAGTTTTTGTCCAACTGTCATTGCTCCACTGGCTTCCAAGACTGTGGGGTACACTCTTCCATCAGGCTTGTGGATCTTGTGCTTGAGGCCTCCTGCTGCTCCATGGGTCAGTGTTCTCTGCCCTCAGCAGCCGGTTCCATATTCAACACTGCCTCCTATGTACTCCAGCCCGTCCCACCTTTATCCTGCCTGGGATGTGGGTATAAGGAAGGGAACAGGTGACATTACCACTGCTGACAGCAAAACTGTGCGTACAGGAAGTAGAGTGGCAGGCAGGACCACTGGAACAGTAGCTACAGTTCCAGACTTCAATCAATATTTTAATTACCAAGTCTATATTTAGCAAGACAATGTGGGAGAGAGAAAGAGGAAGAAGGGGTAGGTGGTGAGGGGCCTCAGAGGAGCTGACCCACTTTCTGCACTGGCTGCAGAGCCTGCAGTCCTGGCCAGGAGTTCCCAGCCTCATGCCCTTCACAGGCCCTGGCAGGCGGCAAGGAGGTGCTTAAGCAGCTACAGCTCTGTGGCAGCTGGAGACCCCATCAAAGAGACACGTCATCAGTACTGTCCTTTAATCTTCCTCCGCTCCACAGCTGAGGGAGAAGGGACCGGCCAAGGATTTCAGGTGGGGTCAGTGTGACTGCAGGGTCACCATGACAGCCTTGGCTGTGGCGTTGAGCATGGCAGCAGGAAGCCTAGCAGCAGGGAGCACAGCAGGGATGTCTCTGGGGACTCTCTGCATGGGCGGGATGTTGGGGCCCTCCAGCGTGTCCAGGATCCCTGTAAAAAGGGTGATGGAAGATGAGCAAGAGTTGGCTAGGCCCAGCCCACAGGCTATCTCATCCAGCCCCCTTGCCCCTGGCAGCTGTCCGCACCCACATCCACTCCTTGCCTCAGCCCTCCTGTCACTTACCCTCCACCACCTTGTGGTAGGCAAAATGCAGATAGAGCAGGAAGAGCATGTGCAGGGCAGCCAGGGTGCCACAAAGGAGCAGCCGCTGTGTGGGGCCCACGGTCCGTGACACCAACACTGCCACCTAGTCCCACAGGAAGATAGCTCAGAGGCCTGGCTCCAGTGAGGAGTGGGGAGAAGACACCCCACCCAAGGCAAAGCCATCTTGGACTTTTCCCACCCATTCAGAACCCTTCACGGGGCTCTGCCTCAGCTCTGGGCTGTTTTTCCCAAATCCCTGGGAGGACAGTCCACTCCTGAAAACCCCTCTCCCAGCTTACCATGCGCAGGGTGGACAGCCCACCCACCAGCAGCCAGAAGAGGTAGAAGAGGGCATGGAGGTGGATGTTATAGGTGATGAATAGGACAATACAGTGCCCAAAGAGGCCATAGCCCTAGGAAGGAGAATGGTGGAGAGGAAAATCACTCAGGCTGGACTGACCTCTGGCCCTTCACGGGGACCCTGGGTAATAAAGGGCCCACGGGCCACTTCCTCCCATTCCAGGCCCTTGGGTCCTGTGGAACCAGGACACACAGAAACCAAGGCCTGGGTACTCTCTTAGGATCACCCTTGCCCACCACCATGCCTGGCTCCTTACCAGCAGTGCCAGCATCTGGAGCATGGTGATCTGGGCGTTGCACAGGTAGGCGAGGAAGTAAATGAAGGACGAGACGCCCAGCCAGTAGCCAAAGCAGGTGCCAATGGCTGTGCCCATCAGGGTGCCCTCCCGCTGTGGGGTGAAGGCTCTGCTTAGCCCTGAGAGGCCTCTGATCCCAGCCTCACTCAGGGCCTTCCTCAAGGACTGCTCCTGCCTCACTTCATCGTCCTCTCCTCGGGCAAACTTCCAACCTAGTTCAGCCACCCCCCAACGTCCTCTGTTCTGCTTACAATAATGGTGTCAGATGTCTTCATCCCGTGGAGGAGGATGGCTACCAGCGTGAAGACCAACATGAGAGGTCCGTAGAGTTCACCTGCAATTTTCTGTCAATATACCAACTCATTCAGGCTGGAGACTACCATGGCTCTTCTGTTTATGCCTTCCCAGGCTTTGCCTGGTGGACCCACCCTCTGCCCTGGTGCCTCCCCTGGCTCTCCAGACATGCCACCCCCTATTCACCTGTGGGAAGTTGACCATCTTGATAGGGATCATGGACTCCAGGAGCCTGAGAGAGGAGAGAAGAGATGAGAGCAGAGGCAGCACTAGGCTGTGAGGTTTTGGAGGTCAAGGCATGAGTCTTACTACTCATCTCTCTAATCCCAGGGCATGGCGACTGGCCCAGAGGACATGCTGGATGATTCGGGGAGAAGGGGGTAGTAAAGACAGACAGGATGGGGAAATCACTTCCTAGCCCCTAGGACATTCCGGGGAGGACACTCCTCTGATGCTGCGCTGACTGAAGCAGCAGCAATATAGAGAATTCAGAGAATCCGGCTGGGCTTTGGGGGAAGGCCTGACGATTGACCTATTTGACCGGCTCATCTTTAAAAGAAAGGCAAACCTCAGCAGAGAATAATGCCCAGCATTCAGGGCTGTTATGGTGAGGCCCTGCGAAAAGGTTTAGAAGGTGTCACTAACGGAAACTGTGCATCCTACCTCTTCCTGCTTACCATTCCTCTAGGCACCACTGGGTATTTTCTTGAAAAATCTATTTGAAGTGGTATGAAAATTCCAGGCAGAAGGAATAAAAGTACAAGTCACATCCCTGTTCTCTTCTTAAGTGACCGGCTCCTAATAATACCTTGGATTTTAGCTAAATTATACTTCTGGGATACCTGCCCTGTCCCATTCCCTAGCCCACCCTGGGTCAAGTGTCCCTCCTGTGTCTCCATCACAGTGTATGAGTGCTGTCTGGTAACTGCACACCAGGGAAAGGCTCCCATCTGTCTTCACCACTGAATCAGACACAGCCAAGTACAGTGCTGTGCTTAATAAATAAATATGATCAATGAGTATCTACTAAGTGGTACTGGATATTATTTGATAAACATTAGTTAAATTAAGGGACAAACAAGGAACCAAGCTAAGATTAAATCCAGTTCTTGAATAGTCATTCAGCAACTATGTACTGATATTCTGGTTCACCGACTGTTCTGGTGCCGGGAATAAAAATATAAATATGAAACAGCTTGCTGTCAAGGAGCTGTTGGTCTCTGGAGATAGACCCAAGAATAAGAAAATACAGCAGTGCTGACATGCTATCTATTAGAGAAAAACACAGAATTCTATAGCAGTACCAGGAAAAGACAAATGGGGGAGGGAGGTGAGGAATGGGGAACAAAGAAAGTAACATTTGAGTTAGGTTTTGAGGGAAGATGAGTCTGCTCATGGCGAAAAGGAAAAAGCCAATGTGTTAGTGCCATGTTGTGTTCAGTAGCTGGTGAGAGGTATGGTGTGTCTGAGGTACAAGGTGCAATGATGAGGGGTAGTGAGGTCATAAAGAGCAGGGGTCCTGAGGGATTCGTATCTGGTTGTTGGCTGGATAAAGGACTAGGTGTTAGGAGGGCAGTTCTTCTGTCAGGAGAAGGATCCTCACCTGCTTCGCACCTGGGCGGGCTCCACATCAAAGTAGGGTCTCAGGATGTCAATGTTGGCGTACAAGCTGAAGGCCCTGGAGGCTTGTCTCTTCCCTGCCTGCCACATCTGAAGCAAGGAAGATGGGGGTGGGAGGATGGGTATTGTGAGACTCTTGGCTCTGGGACCTGTTGCCTAGTCTTCTGTTGGATTTCTACTTGGTTCCAACTGGGTAACTTGGGGCGGGCTTCACCAACACCAACTCCAGAACCTGCGGCCTGCCTAGATATACTTTTCCACTTAGCAGGAATCCAGTCCTGCTTACCTGATCAGCCACCTGCCGGCTCAGCTGTCCCTTAAAGCCCTTCATGCCCAGGAACTCTCCATCCTCTTCTTCAGCAGCAGCTGCATCAGCGTCTACTTCTTCCTCACGAAGGCGCTGATGTAGCTCACCCATATCCTCAAAGCTGGAGCCAGAGGTATCATCCATGTTCTCCATGTCAATCACAGCTGAGCCCCCACCCTGCGAAAACAAAGGCTCCTAGAGTGCTAGACCTTTCCACTCCATCGCTTACCCCAGGGTTTGGGTTTTGTTCTTCCACTGCTGGGGTATGGCTTGGCATCACCACAGATCCTGCCACTCTCTTCCCCCTCATACGCTGTCAGAACACTTGGGTCCTAGCTTTGGCTCTCTTACTGAGCTTGGGAAAACTTCTTTCACTCATGTCTCTCCTATCTTCCCTATCAAACTCTCAAAGGGCTGCAAAAGCACCCATTTCCTTTGTCTTTCACAAGCCCAAGGCAAGTCTGTGCATAGTGTTTTTGGCCAGTGCCAGTTATTCTCCCTTCCCCCATCATGCCTGACCCAGGCCAACCTCCCAACTTGTCCCTAAAGCAAGAGCACGCTCTTTCTAATACCTCGGGAAGGCCCAGAGACCTGTGGCCCTCGAGCTGGAGTATCACTCTGGGCCTTTCAGGTCAGCACTAACCCCACCGACTTCGGGTGCAAGACCCAAAGCGGTGAAGTGTTGCGACTGGAGCAAGCGGTTCGGACGTTAGGAGCGGACTTTTAGGCCCCAAGAGAGAGTTCCCAAGACACTTTAGGACGGCTGCCAGCCCTAGGCTGCTGGCAGCCGGAGCCTTGGGGCCATTACCTGGATGTTTTCTTCGAATCCTCCCCATTCCGGGCCAGCCCCGTTTCGGGCGCCGCCCGCCGGCGCCGCCGTAGCTGCCATGTCCCTCGAGGGCTCCCGTCGCTGAAGCCCGCGCTATCCCGCGCGCGGTGAATTGGGCGAGACGTGAGCCTGAGAGACGGAGACGTCCACGGGCAACAAGGAGAGATGGGACCAGCCGGAATGCAAAAAGGAGAAACCCGGATGTTTGGCTCAAACTGACTTCCGGAAGCTTGGGACGTGGACGGAGGCGGGGCAAACTCTCGCGATATGTAAGCTTCCAGGAGCGCGTTCGTTGCCAAGGAGACGGGGTGACTAGACCACAAGAGCCACTTTGAGGGTCTAGCCACGTGGTACGGTTAAAGATGGCGACGGCCAAGGCAGTAGAAGAAATGCGAGGCCGCGTGGTTCTAGGGGAGTTCGGGGTTCGCAATGTAAGTCTTGTGGTCTTGAATTCGGGATAGAGGAGAACGGAATAGGGATGAGTTGGGTTCAGAGTGAGGACGGGCTCGGCCTCGCTGCTCCTTTGCGGACAGACTCCTATCTCTTGTTCTAGGTTCATACCACTGACTTCCCCGGTAACTACGCCGGTTATGATGATGCCTGGGACCAGGAACGCTTCGAGAAGGTGGAGGAGGAGTTGGAGGGAGGATTGGAAGTACTGGGAGGGTGAGCGATTAGGGTAGGATAAGGTGGGTGCGGACGGAGGTGTCTGGAGAGGGTGTGTGGGGCCGGACCGTGTGATCTGAGCAGCCTATGCCTCAGAAGCAGCCCTTAAGGTTAGCTTCATTCATCAGACGTTTATTGAGTTCCTGTTCCCATCCTAGCAATGTCCTAGGCGCCGCGTGTACTAGACCGAAATTCACACAGTTTCTGCCCTGTTCTGTGATTCTTGTTGGGGAGTCAGCGCGCGTAAACAAATGATTCCAATCTAACGTGGTAAGGCGGTTGATAGCAGTAGGCCCAGGGTGTGCGTGGGGCGGGCGGGCTAGGGGGGAGGTTTAGAAAATTTCCTGAAGATGACAACTAAATTGGGCCTTGAACGATGAATGGAAGTTGTGAACAGCTAAGTGTGAAGGAACTAAGATGAATAAATTATAAAGGCGTGAGATGTGCTCCTGGAATGTTTAAGCAATTCAGTATTGCTAGAATGTAAAATGGACCAGCATGAGTGGTAGGCAAGACTGGAGTTCGTTTTAGGCACTGTAGGTGATAGGGAACTTTTGAAGAGTTTTTAAGCAGACTTGATAAGATTTGTAACCCTGATGGTTGGGAGAGAATCAGTGAACTATGATTGCAGAAATTGTGCAAAGGGGATGGAAAGTAAAATTGGTGATTCATTTGATATGGGCTGTGAGGGGGAAGTATAAAATAACCTGGCTTAGGGAACTTTGATGGATGGTGATGTCATTTACTGATAAGGAGGAATGGATGTGGGGAAGAGGAATGATGATGCATTCAATTTTCTGCACCTGTCGAAGTCTAGCAGGCTAGTAGAATATTTGAAATGAGATCAGGGATGAGACAATTTTCGTAGTTGTCAGTATACAGATAAATTGCTAAAATCGTGTGGTTGAGGTCACCCTAGTGAGACAAGAACTTAGGAAATAGTTAACATTTAGGGGATGGGTGGAAGAAGAGTGAATTTAGAAGAAATCATAAGAGAAAGAAGAGAACTGGAAGATTGGTGCTCAGAAACCAAGGAAGTAAGTTTTAAAAAGGAGGGATTTTATTAAAAAATTCCAAATGTAGTAGAGGATTCCAGTAAGATAAGAACTGAGTAGTATCACTTGACCTAAGCAGTATGGAAATTCCTGTTCTTTAATAGAATGGCCTTCCTGAGATGTTTGGCTGGAAGCAGATTACAGAGGTTTTGAATGAATGGAAGATAAAAATAGGAAACTTTTCAAGAGACTAAGAAAGGATTGGAGGAGAAAGGAATATCCGATGAGGGACATCTGGGCATAAGGGAGGTTTTAGGATATGAGATGATGTTAATACATTAAGGGAAATACCCAGGGAAGGGGGAGCACAGAGTTTGACTATGCAGAGACCAGGCCTTAGTGTTTTTCCTGTCCCTCTAGGATTTCCATGTGGATGTGGTACACATGGATGAAAACTCACTGGAGTTCGACATGGTGGGAATTGATGCAGCCATTGCCAATGCTTTTCGACGCATTCTATTAGCTGAGGTATTGATGGATGTGGTGACAAGGTTGGGGTTGTGTGGGGAACCATGCTAATTATCTCAAGGTGACCCCACCTTGTTTTTCCTGCATATTTATTGAGCATTCCTTCTGGCCATTCTTTGTAATCTTTTTAGCAAGCATTTTTCTAGGAAGAGCTCTGTCAAGGGGTGGGAGTGAAGGGCCTACTGATCTTTGCAGATGGGTGATTCAGTTTCCTTGGGCAGGTGCCAACCATGGCCGTGGAAAAGGTTCTGGTGTACAACAACACATCCATTGTCCAGGATGAGATCCTTGCTCACCGGCTTGGGCTCATTCCCATTCATGCGGATCCTCGTCTTTTTGAATATCGAAACCAAGGTAAGCGTTTGGGAAAATAATATGTTGGGAAAAGGAAGCCAGCTCTCTTCTAAAGTAAGATTTTGGAATCAGACTGCTTGGGTTTAAAACCTGCATTTGACCTTGCGGAAGTTAATCTTTTAGCAGCACATCAGTATTTTCCATCTGTGAAATGAAGACAGTACCTGTTTCGTAAGTTTGTCAAGAGGATTAAATGAGAAATGTATGTAAAGTTCTCAGCATGGTGCCTGGCATTCAGTGGTCACTAGTTTTCTAAGAGCCACCTCCTCCTCCTCTTGCATTTACGCAGAAGATGAAGAAGGCACAGAGATAGATACTCTGCAGTTTCGGCTGCAAGTCAGGTGCACTCGGAACCCCCACGCTTCTAAAGATTCCTCTGACCCCAACGAACTCTATGTGAACCACAAAGGTAAGCAGTGATAGGGTGAGGAAGACAGCCTGCCTGCTGGGGGGGCGGGTGTATGGTTTTAGGGGCTGAAGTCTTATGACATGCTTCTTCCTCTAGTTTACACCAGGCACATGACATGGGTGCCCCTGGGGAACCAGGCTGACGTCTTCCCAGAAGGCACTATCCGACCAGTGCACGATGACATTCTCATTGCTCAGCTGCGGCCCGGCCAGGAGATTGACCTGCTCATGCACTGTGTCAAAGGCACTGGTGAGAACCCCGTGGGCTGCACTGGGCCGGGGGGTAGTTTGATTGCAGTGGGGCAAGGTGTGACTAAGGAAGTCAGCAGAGGTGTCCCTGACAGGCAGAAAGCCAACGAGCATGTACTTTTGCTGCAGTGGCTTAGGACACTGAAGAAGGGTTTCCCACAGGTATTGTATTTCCTTCTCCCCTCCAGGCAAAGATCACGCCAAGTTTTCACCTGTAGCGACAGCCAGTTACAGGCTCCTGCCCGACATCACCCTGCTTGAGCCTGTGGAAGGAGAGGCAGCTGAGGAGCTAAGGCAGTGCTTCTCACCTGGTGTTATTGAGGTGCAGGAAGTCCAAGGTATGGTATTTGGGGTGCTGTTCAGGTCAGGACCTAAGAGAGAAACAAAAGCTCTGGGCTCCAATAGAGAAAGTATAACATGGCTTGTTTACATCAGGTAAAAAAGTGGCCAGAGTTGCCAATCCCCGGCTAGATACCTTCAGCAGAGAAGTCTTCCGGAATGAGAAGTTGAAGAAGATTGTTCAGCTGGCCCGGGTTCGGGATCATTACATCTGTGAGTATTTTGGATGGATCAAGTAAAGGGAGCGGGGGCGCCCTTTGATGCTGCAGCTTCCTTTCAGAGTTCAGATGTGATGTGGAATTTAGCAATAACTTACACAGGCAAGCCCTACCTGGGCTAAAGTGTCTCTTTGGTCTCCAGTCTCTGTTGAGTCCACAGGGGTATTGCCACCAGATGTGCTGGTGAGTGAAGCCATCAAAGTCCTGATGGGAAAGTGCCGGCGGTTCTTGGATGAACTAGATGCGGTTCAGATGGACTGAAGTTTGCACTGGACACTTACTGGGATGGCTAGGCTTGGATGCTCCTCTCAGGCAAGCTGAAGATTTTGGGTTCTGACCTACACCCACAGGACTGCTGTACACAGCCCAGTGTAACTGAGGATCCTGAATTTTCATGGACAACTCTAGCTTTATTTTCAATCAATACATTTTGTTAAATGTGCCTGTTACGCCTTTGTAAGGCCCTTCTTTCATATAAATAAATCATGTCAAACAAAAATACTTCTCTCACACCACTTCTTGATTTTTGGTCCAAAAATATGAGGCTTTAGAACAGTTTTGCTCATTTAGCAGTTAAGAACACTGGGCTCAGATGTCAGTGCAGGTCAGGACCAAGCCTCCTGAGGAATTGGGAGTGGTTTCTGGGGGCACAACCAAACTCTAAGAGAGATCCTCAAAGAGCCAAAGTGAATCTACCACTTCACCTATTGCCTGGATTATCAGGGGGAAGTTCCTGATAGAAAAAAGGGTGGTCACATTGCTATCAACAGCTACATGAAAGAAACAGCAATTCCCTGGGCAGTAGTTTACAGGTCTGGTCCAGCAGCCATCTGCTGTAGACACTATGAGAACGGTATGGGCTGCCTGGTGTAGGTGGTCAGGAAGAGAAATATTCTTCTAGCTGACAGCTTAACAAAGCAAGTCCATCAGTCACAGTTCCTCCTGCCCAGTCCCTTTGCCGGGATGCTTATGCGTAGCAATGACCCTGAAATATGTCACTGGTGTTAAGACTGGTTTGAAAAAGGCAGATGGGACCCTTTCTATATAAAATTGAGATTTTTACTGACATGCAGATGTGCTTTAGAGTTAATGTTTCTACAAAAAGGTTCTATAAACAATAGAAAACTTCTAGCATGAAGTCACAGGATGTTAAAAATATTACAACACAATAAATACAACTATGCCCTCCACAGCCCCAACCACACAGAGTAGGCAGCCATCAAATTTGGAGGGAAACACACCATTGAGATCGCCTTCACAATCAACAGAGTAAGAAACCCAAAGCACCGCCCAGGAAGAGGGAGCAGAGACAGTGACGTGAGACTCCTAAGTCCTGCTTCCGCAGCTTTGCCTCTTCCCAACCCTTACCCTGCCTATGGGCCTGCACCAGCTGAAAGTATAGCCTCAGTTGACTCGGCCCTCCCTCTGAAGCCCTCCTGCCAGTGGACTGGATTGATGACACGCCTGTCTTCATGCAAAGCACATGAACACACACTCTTATGTTGTGCCAGTAATGACATCAGGGCTAGGGTCTTACATCCACTTTCCCTCTGCTTACAGGCCTCCCAGTGACCTCTAGAATGGACTGGAGACTCACAGAACAGGCTGTGCTGGGAAGGCATATTTTATGTTCATTTTTTAGGGAAATGCCCTATGGAGAAGTGACCAGGGACCTGAAAGACCATGAGATTTTTGAAGGCACCTGGACTCACGGAGAGACCAGTGGCTTTGCTAGCTACTTGTCACAATAACCTGGTTGGTCTGGATCATCCTTGGATGCCAATGGCATCAGCGACACTATAGGGTACTGTGGCTCTTATGCCTGAGTGGATGCTGGGGCTGGAGAAACCACACTGAGGGATCATTCATGTAAGGGCAAAATGTGTAAGCTCCAAGGGGGAAGCTAGAGAGCACTAATGCCCTGGCCCAGCCCTGGTCCTTGGAGGTGCTACACTTGGTACCGTGCCCAGAGCTTAGCAGTAGCTTGTGCCATGGATCCTATCAGATGACCAGATTCTTGCTCAAAACAAAATGAGGGAACTGGCCAAATTCAGTTCAGCACTCAGCCACTGCAACATGCTCCACTGTGTGAGGGGGCTCAGTGGGGCTTACAGTGGTCCAGGAGAAACTCTGGCAGAAATAGTTGTGGACTGAACCCTTACTGCAAGCCTGGCTAGTTCGCAAAGTTGGGTACAGCACTCCTAGTTAACATTCTGCACAGATGGGAGGGCTTGGGGCGAAGGGCTGCTCTGCTCTAGCTTTTCTCTCTTGGAAAAGCCAAAACTCCAAGCAGAATGGGAGACACCTAGGAGATCTAGACAGAATGGTAGAAGCCCTAACTCCCTTTCTTGATACTTCAGTATAACTACTACTGGCCCAGCACAGGAGGGCCCACTCTCTCCAACTCCAGACCTGGATCTCTCTCCAGGCTGACAATGGGGGAAGTGAGGTGGCAGTGGAGAAGGGCCTAGAGATTAGCTAAGAAGGGGAAGAAGAGATGACAATAAACGCCAAGGAAGGATGCCCAAAAGCTTGATTCACGGTTCAAAGATGGTGGCCAGGACACCCTCCTCGTTTTCCAGCACGTCTGACTCCAACATTGGCTTTGTTTTTTTGAAAAGTGAGGGGAGATTCTTAATGTGAACTTCTTTTCGGAACTGCTCTCCCAAGGGCTTCTGTGGAAAACAAACGAGAAAAAACTAATGTTGGGCCCTCAGTAGTCGGTTGTTTTTAAAGATCATCCCACCGTAATGGTCAATGACTACAGCTGGTTTCTGGTCTGCCCCATACACATGGGCTAATAAGACCATAGGGTGGTTGGGAGCAAAACCAATGGAGGTGTATTGAAGACCTACCCCGATGCAGCCAGCAATCAGGCGTTTGAATTGGTCCTTCCGGCGCTTGTCAGCAACTTTCTGCAGGGACGGGTTCAAAAGCTTGCAGTCAAACTGGTCCAGAGAGTCCTTCTGTATTTCAGGGATCTGTTCCATAACAGCTCTTATCTCCAGGTACCTGGGGCGCTGACAAGTGGGGATAAACCCACTCAATAACGTAGGTGTGGGCCCTGCCACCTTCTCCATTCCCTGCCACACCCACCTCTCAGGGGCAGAGCTAGCAACCTGGCAGATGCCTAAATTCAGGATAAGGCCCAAATGATCAAGAGTAGGCCGTGAGGGACAAAGCCACAGCATCCTGCCCCCATGCTTTCTCCTCCTGCTCATCTCTCCTCCACTCACCAGTGCCTCATATATCTGGAAGGCCAGGTGGACCAGGGAAGCCATGCACCCGTCGTGCTGCCCGTGCGTCTGCAAGCCCTTCAGCACACTGGTGAAAAGCCACGTAACAGCATCTGCGAGCAGGGTCCCTGACAGCACCTGGGGAGACAGCTGTGCTCAGGGCCAAGGGGGACTCTCTGAAGACCCCAGGAACACAATGCACCCCAACTCTTCTAACTGATCCAGTCAGTCCTCATGACCAAACCTTTCAGAAGGGATAGGGAGGAGGAGTGAATAACCATACTTGTTTGAGCAGAGGCCAGCAAAGCTGTGTGGTCGTCCTCTGGCAGGACAGAGTATCCTTCCAGGCCAGGGAGTTGAAGGCTGTAATTAATAGCGCTGTACAAACATCCTGAACAGGAAAGAATGAAGAATTACAATGGGAAAATAAGCACAATCTTCTCTACTCCTATACATCAGGAGCTGGAGTTTTAAACAGGTAAGCAGAAAAATAGTAAAAGCAACTTCTGAAGAGAAGTAAGTTTACTTCCTCTATTTCTGTATATCAGGCAGTCAAAAAGAAGAAAACAACAACCAGTAAGAAAAAAAATATGTATAGGAAGGAGACAGAGGTCAGGGCCTGGGTGAGGCTAAACACCAGGACATGGGGATGGACACTTGTGTTTTTTCTGAATCTTTGCCCAGACTGGCATAGGAGACATTCTCATGGCCTTGCATTTTTTTCCTTTGTTTTCTGGGGGCTTTAGGAAGCAGGAGCTTATCTCATATAAAGGAGTGCTACCAAAAAACTCTTCTGATGGAGTTACAGAGTGGGAAAAGTAGATGCTGGCTCCCCAGCTGGGCAAGAAAAAAAGGAAGCACCTGCCCCCTCTACCCACCTCATGCTTCATCAGGCATTTGCCCAGGTCTGTAAGCTCCGCCATGGCTGAGGGGGTTACCTCTGTGGCCATCATCTCTTCATCTATAAGCAGAGAACAGAATGTAAGCTCCATCCTCTGAAAACAGAGAATTCCTGTTCTGGAAGAAGCCTAAAAAGCAAAGAACAATTGAGTATCCTGGACTGGCTGGTGCCTGAGTAGTACTGAGATCTCCCATGAAAGGGTGTGGAAGTTCCTGCCCAGGGAAGATCTTCTAAAATGCAACTAGTCATACATTTGGGAAGTAGCAGTGATAAACAAGAGATATACCAGGAATAACTTAAAAAGCTGTAAATGCTAGATACTGCCTAGCTACCACCACCGACTGCTCTGACAGGGATCACAACAGAGGGTTCCGGACAGAGCTGGAGAAAAATGGAGAGCAAAATTCTAACTCAAAAAAGAAAAAAAGATAAGACTTACTGGTCTGACAGAGACTAGGGAAACCCCGAGAAACCCTGGACACCCTTTTAGCTCAGTAATGAAGTCACTCCTGAGGTTCACCATTCAGCCAAAGATCAGACAGGCCCATAAAACAATATGACTAAATGCACACACCAGTCCAGGGGCAAGGACAAGAAGGCAAGAAAGGACAGGAAAGCTGGTAACAGGGAACCTAATGTTGAGATGGGGAGAGTGCTGACATGTTGCGGGGTTGGCAACCAATGTCACAAAACAATCTGTGTATTGTTTAATGAGAAGCTAGTTTGCTTTGTAAATCTTCATCTAAAATATAATAATAAAAAAAAAAAAGCTGTAAATACTGAGGTTCCTATTCCTTGAACAAATATTTGAGTACTGGGGATATAACAGGAATAGGACAAAGTCCTTTTTTTCCCCAATGGGAATTTACATTCTAGTCAGGAGACAGATAATGAATACAAAAATAAAGACAATATAATGTCAGGTAGTTAACAAGTACTATGAAGAAAAATAAAGCAGAGAAAGAATATAGAGTGGATGGGGCTGCTATTACTGAAAAGTTGGTCATGGCAGACTTCTCAGAGGAGGTGACATTTGAGCAGAGACCTGAATGAAGCAAGGAAATAAGCTATGAATACAGTGGGGAGAAAATCATTAAGCAGAGGAAACAGCAAGTGCAAAGGCTCTGAAGTGGGAGTATGGTGGAGGAATATACCAAGAGGGCTAGTATAGGTGATAGCTACACGTACAGCATCTCATGCTCACCAGACTACTAGCAAGAGAGTTTCTATAGGAACTGACCTGGTTACAGAAAGAACAATGTTTAGGGGCCTAAAAGCAGATCTACAGGGTAGGCGGCAGGCTAACTTACCATCTCCATCTGCAGGGGGAGCAGTACTGTGGTCTGCACCTTTCTTGGAAACACAGCAAACCGCTAAAGCAAGAAAACAGGGTTACCGTGTGAAGGGAAGGTTATATACTACCACCAGACAACAGCCACTCCAGGCCTAAAAAAAAAAAAACCAAAACCATTGCTGTCGAGTTGATTCCGACTCATAGTGACCCTATAGGACAGAGTAGAACTACCCCGTAGGGTTTCCAAGGAGTGGCTAGTGGATTCAAACTGCTGACTTTTGGTTAGCAGCCTGGCTTCACTCCAGGTCTACTGATCCCCAACTGTCTCTGGGCAGGTGAAGAGGGAAGACGGGGTTCTATCTGGGCACAAAATAAGCTTCAGTAATAGAGAGAGGCATTTTGATGGTCTTGAACAGATTTTGTTCTGGTCCTTCCTCAAGTTCAATTAACTGAGGAGAAATTACAAAATCCCCTGAGAGTGAGCAGGAGAGGATGCCTGATACATCCCTTATCTACTTTGGATTTCAAACAAATAAAATGGCCAAGTGCCATTTCTTTCTACATTTCCAGAGAGACGAAAAGAAAATTACCAACCTCCATGTCTAACAATTTTAAATTTTCCCTATTTTGACAAAGCCAGGAAGTTATTCCTAACATTACTCCAAATTCCTCCTGCTATTTTAGATCAGTTCCTCTCACTCAGGCCTCAATATAAACAAATACAATTCAATTCACAATTCACAGAATGTCCCTAGGCTGACTTGAGAACTACCTAGTTGACTGTTTCTTATTAATCTGTGATTACAGCTGCCAACATGAATTTTTGCATGTTTCATGGGGTTGGCTGAGTGAGCAGCTCTTTTTCCAGGAAAATTCTCTACCACGCCACGCGCCACTTACTGATTAGATCCATGACCTCTCGGGTTAACATCCTCACCAGCTGCTCTTCCAGCATCTCTTGAGACTCTGGGTTTTCATCTGCAGCCTCATCTTCTCCACTGAAGAAAACCAGGGGGCCAAGTTCCATCGAGTACAGAAAGGGATGGGCAAGGAAAGCAGTGACACTAACCAGACCCTCTACACCTACTTCCTTCTGGTCTGTTTTCTATACAAATGTTGGGAATGGACAGCAATGACCCATCGAGGGACATTATTACCTTGTGACTATGTCCAGTTGGAGAGAGGGCATTGAATCAAAATCCTGAGTAGGTAAAGACATCTCGGCATCCTCCTGAGGCATCTGCACCCTCTATGAAGGCTTAATCTCAGGGTCTGCCTACTGTCACAGTCTGTCAAGACTACCATCTAGGCCGAGAATGACTATAACCACTGCTGTTCTAGCTCTGAAACAGGAGAAGTCCCTCCGTTTCCCCATCTTCCCACCAACCCCCCACCCACCCTGCCCAGCTTGTCAATCAAAGAGAACGGATGTTTCTTTCTTACCACAGCAAGCTCCTCTGGTTGATGACTTGCCATTTTTGGGAAAGCCTCTGAGAGGAAAAAAAGGAAATAAGTGCTAGAATTGGGGAGAAAGTTGGAAAAGATAATATCTTAGGGCTGCTTCATAATTAAAATTAGCTGAGGATGATGCCAGGTATCAATGACAGAGTCTAGACAGACCCCCAAGGTTAAACAGCCAGATATGGTTTCTGTAACCTCTCCCACACCCCGAATGAGGGCAGCATATCAAACACCTCTTCACTGGGGGAAGATTAACATTTTAGAATTCCTGGGTCTCTCCGGACACCTGTGTTCTCCACCCAGTTGGTCCTCCTGCCTAATTCCAGACTCAGGGAAACAGAGCCAGGGGAAGCACTCCCCTGGTCACCACCTCTCTCAGTTAATACCGGTTAGGAGCAGAATCTGAGTCTGAAAGAGCTTCACGGGTAATTGAACTTGTTTAGTTCTTTGGAGGCTGCTCAATCCACTGCAGCAAAGACTCTGTGCCACCATCCTGGACAGGGCTAAAGACAACACTTCGAGGAACTCCTGACCACAAAGCTCAGGAGTGACCACCTGCCCCAAGAGTACTTTAAAAAAAATAAATAAATATTTTTAAAAATATGGAACGTGTCATGAATTTCCATGTCATCTTGCACAGGGGTCATGCTAATCTCTGTATCGTTCCAATTTTAGTATATGTGCTGCCAAAGCGAGCACCCAAAGAGTACTCTTTGCTATCCTTTCCTGACCAATCTCTTACCATGTGGAGGTAGGTGAAAAGAGGTCCAAGTATGGGAGACACGAGGGCTTCATAGTGCTCTGGGGGACAGAAGAGCACCAGAGGCTTCACAAAGACCCATGCCGCAGCAGGTTAAGGAAGTTTTAGCACAGGAGCACACAGCCCCCTCATTCTAAAAGCACCTCTCACCTGACAGGCTGGGGAACCATCAGGTGGCAGGCTGCACCCTTGGGCAAAGTCAACCTCCAGAGGACTTGCAAGATGCCAAGAACATCTAGTATTAAAATCTTCAAGCTCTTTTCCTAAAATCCTAAGCTGCATGGATACTCAATTCCATCATATTTTTAGTTTAACTGTCCTTTCTACCAGACTGCATAGATATGAGCACTGGGTTGCCCAAAAGTAGAGAGGAAAAAAACAGGAGAGTCACCCTTGTTAATAAACTTGTCTTCACCATTCTCACAAATACATTTAAAAAATAAAAAGCATCTGAATGAGAATGAAGCATGAAGGTGCTTCTTCAAAGAGGAAGTACCTGAGAAAATAAAAGGATAAAAGCTTTACCTTTAAAGAAGTGAGATGGTAAAGATTTACCCCTAAGGAAATGTTTGTAACAGCAGCAGGAAGAGCTTTCAAGACCCCCTGGATTGCCTTCATGTTTTTCGGGCTATTTACTTCTATCTTCCTGCCTCTTAATGAGGTTAATATGCACTTAAATAAATGACCCCATCCCTTCCACGCAGCTCTGCCTCCCTCTGGTTCCTGTGAACTGTTTCTAACTCTAATTTTCCAGACTTCCAGCTTCTCTTGTGACTTTTAAAAGGATATGAAGCATGGGTCTGAGTCGGTAATCAGGAATATTGTTCAAGTTGACAAAGGCTGAGCTGAGGAGCTGGGTAGCGAGGTCCTCCACGGTGTAGAAGTCTTGCTGCATGGAAGGGCCTGCCTTCCCTAGGATATGGAAACTGTAAGGAAAGAGCATTGGGAATGACAAATCCAACATCTGTTATTACCAGTCCTGAATGCCCAGGGAATTTCATTTCTAATCTCTAAGAAATAAGACTTCTCAGCTAGACAGACAATTGTATTTTACTCTTAGGAGATCTTTAACTTTATTACAGCGTACTTCAAAGACATGGACTTAATCTTTTATCATAAATGGAAAGTAAAATCTACCTCCCCCCTTTTAAGAAACTCCTTGAAAGCAGACATGGCATCTTTTTAAAGACAGACGTTTGTACCCAAGATCGACAGTAGCCTTCATTACTATGTGATGTGCATTAACAACAGAGAATCTCTCATTAGCGTGGCTGATCAGACCACTGGGTTAGTGAGGCCAATGCCCTGGGTGTGGTGTGCACACAGGTCAGTTACCTCCCCATCCCATCAGGCCCTGAACACAAAACCCCAGCTGACTGCCTCCCAGTTTCCACGAGAAGTAGGCTACAGGCAGTGAGAAGCCTGAGCAAATGCATCCTTACCATTAAATCTTCTACTCAGGTCTCATCATTTTATGCACAGGCAACAAAGACAAGCTGATGTTACATGAAACACCAAGTAATGACTGGGACTGTAAGGCTCACATGATAATTATAAAAAAGCAAACGCAGGAAAGTAGCCTGTTTATTTCAATTTGACACTATTAATAGTTTCCTGTCAAATCTTTGCCTCACCTTACCTACGCACTAGAGGTCTAGATTAAAAGTCCAACCGTGGCCAATCCTTTACAATGCACGTCTAGAACGTGGAGAGGCAGCACTGGCTCCTTACCAGTTTTCATACAGGGTACAAAAGAAACGTTGCATTCTTTCCAAGACTGTTTTGTAGACCACAGAGTCATTGAGTTCCAAGAGAGGCTGAGGTAATCCTACAGAGAAAGATGTGTCACGAACATGCTGTTTGGCTACCAACAAACTACAGCAGCCAGATGTGGTTTTGGGGGAGTACTAAAAATGCAAAGCAGCTGGTCAACTCTTCTACCAGATGAAGGCTCTAAGAGATTCCTTATTCCTTAAAGGTGATTCATTACATCCTCTTCATAGGGAAAGGTGAAAGCTATTTAAATACCCAGGACTTTAAAGCAGACCTGGGTACTCCCACTTTTGCCAGAGCTTCTACGGATGGGACTTGTACCAAAATACACAGTGACAATTCAAAAGGATCCTTCCATAAAGCACTGGATGATCCGCTCCCCGCCCACTCCCCAACCCTTTGAAGTTGTGGAACCCCTTTCGCAAACAAAATCTTACGCAAAAGCCCAAGATGTATAACAGATCAAAATGAAACCTCCTTAGCACAATATGAAAACAACTGCCTTAAAAAATCTATATTTCTGATCAGAGGCAGTTTTACATTTCAAGTCTTGCTCATAACTGGAAGGTGCCAGAGAGAACTGCTTGCCCATTCTAATATGTTCTGGTTGCAACACATTTTTATAGCAGGAGTTTCTAGCTTAACTTGAGTAACAGAATTGGGAGGGGGAAGGGGAGAACCTGCCCACGGTGAAGCAACATCTACTCTTTATATTAACAACAAGACACTTCTTGGAATTTCTATTTTTACTAGTATTTGCAATGTAGACCTTAAGTGTAGTAGAGCCAGAGGAAAAGGCCCAGAACCATCTAGGCCAAGACAGACAGCAGCTATACTGAAGCTGCTCAAGAAGCCCGTGAGAGAGAAGGTGAACTTAGGAAAAGAAAGGCTAGATTTCTTACCTAATATAGCAGATTTTTCTGCTTCAAACATATCCAGAGCCTTAGCGAAAGGCTCTGCCATTTTGGCTAGCATTTCTGGTGCATATAAAGTATTGTGGGTTCTGAAAAAAAAGAACGGTGCTATGTGAACGTTCTGCAGTCTGTTGAGAAAGGACAGAGTGGGTTTTCACCTTATAATTCAGTGAACCAAACTCTAGTACCATACTAACATATAGACAGATCTCACTGTCAACATTCCTTCCAGCAGGGGATAGCAAGAAGGCATAAACATTTGAATGTTTCCTCAGAAAATGAAGCTAATGAGTATAGTATGTAACACCTAAAAGTAATGAACACATGAGACTCAAATCCTGAGGCATCAGGACAGTATCACAGCCCAAAGCCAGAAAGCAAAATATCTTAAACCTGAGATAATGCCTTGGCTCCCCTAGCTTTCTGCCTACCAGTTATATAAGATGAAATGTCAGAGGCACTGTGGATTCACAGGTAAGGACACAGAGAGGGTGGTAATATGCCCCATTTTTCAGATGTTTTGCCTTCATGCCAAAAGCATGGAACCTGCAATGTGCTGATAGTTGTTTAAGTTCCCTGGAGGAACATTCACAATTCCCAAAATATGCCTCTGTTCCCCACCAAAATGACTTATCTGAGCAGCTACTGGCTTTGTATGACTAAGTAGCAACGACTGCATACCTGACCAACCTGCTGCCCGAGGCAGTCCAGCCTGCCCACAGCAATGGCACTAATGAACAATCTACAGTCATCAGAAAGCTTAACTACCTATTTTTCTTTTTAAAAGAAATTATAAAACATCTCAAACTAAAGAATATTACAAACATCAGCAAGGTTAAATATTTAAGGCACACACTGAGCAAGCAAATTCTTTTAGGCAATGCTTTTTAAAAAAACTCAAAATTGTTTCTTAAATCTTGGTGTACACTTGTTAGTATGCTCAATTAAACTGCTTTTTAGAAGACTACTTAATAAGTTAGTTCCAGTTTATTTCCTCATCTCCCTACTGAGGGCTAATAGGTCTAGACTCCTGGGTTTCTGATGACAGATCAGCTGCTGTTTTTGCTGTTAGGTGCTTTGAGTTGATTCTGACTCACAGCGATCCCATGTGACAGAGCAGAACTGCCCCATAGGGTTTCCTAGACTGTAATCTTTATGGAAGCAGAATCCCAGGTCTTTTCTCCTGCAGAGCTGCTGGGTAATCTTGTTGAAAATCCCTTGTACGTGACAAGTGGCTTCTCTCTTGCTGCTTTCAAGATTTTTTTTTAGTCTTCATCTTTCGATAGTTTAACTACAATGTCTTGGTGTGGATCTTTTTTAAGTTTATCCTATCTGTCATTTGTTGAGACTCTTGAATGTGTAGACTGGTATTTTTATTACTAAAAAACTTGAGTTTTTGGCCACCATTTCTTCAAATATTCTTTCTGCCTGTTTCTATTTTGTCCCTTTGGGACTCCTGCAACATTATGTTGATACACTTGATTGTGTCCCACACAGGCTCTGTTCATTTTTCTTTCTGATCCCCTGACTGGAAAATGTCAATTGTCTTAACTTCAAGTTTGCTAATTCTTTCTCCTGCTTGCTTAAATATGTTGTTGAAATCATCCAGTACATTTTATTATTTCAGCTATTGTACTTTTGAGCTCCATAATTTTACTTGGCTTTTTATAATTTCTATCTATTGACAGTCCTAATTTCTTCATATATAGGTCTCTTGCTTTTCTTTAGTTCTTTATCCCTGGTTATGTTTTGCTCTTAGAGGGTATTTAAGAAAACTGATTTGAAGATTTTGTCTGGTAAGTCCAAAGTCTATTCAGTCTAATGTCTGGGCTTCCTCAGGGACAGTTCCTGTGATTCCCCTCCCCGTGAATGGGCCATACTTCTCTACTTCTTTGTATGCTTTGTAATTTTTTGTTGAAAACTGAACATTTTTTGAATATTATAATGGGGTAACTCTAGAGATCAGTTACTTGTTGAAAGCTGCAGTCATCTGCTTGTTTTGTGAATTTTTCAAACTGTTTGTTTTGGGTGCAAAGACTGTATTCCTTGTTGTATGCAGAACTGAAATCTACTCCACTCTCTCAGCGGTCTGCCAGTGAGTGGCCCAACAGAGATTTCATTAAGTGCCTGACACAGAAAGAGAAACAAAAACACTCTCTAGGTCTTTGCAAGTTGACTCTGAGTTGGGGCACTCTTTCAGGGCTTGGCCAGGCCACCTGTAACTCTGCTAGGCTAATTACTGTTGTTTTGCA